GGCTACAATTGTTTACAGATTCTTTTGATTTTTATTTTGTGTGTCATGTCATTATGAAGATGATCCCTATTGATTTTCGTGATGATCGGATAATTTTTCACCGAAATATCGTGTCTGACTTGACGTTTTACTCTATTAGCTATATTGTGCAACTCGTGCTCACTCTACACGCTACAATTCTTTACAGATTCTTTTGATTTTTATTTTGTATGTCTATGTCGTTATGAAGATGATCCCTATTGATTTTCATGATGATCTATCGATTTTCATGATGATCGGATAATTTTTCACCGAAATATCGTGTCTGACCTGACGTTTTACTCTATTAGCTATATTGTGCAACTCGTGCTCACTCTACAGGCTATAATTCTTTACAGATTCTTTTGATTTTTATTTTGTATGTCAATGTCATTATGAAGATGATCCCTATCGATTTTCGCGATGATCGGATAATATTTCACCGAAATATCGTGTCTGACTTGACGTTTCACTCTATTAGCTATATTGTGCAACCCTGTAGTCACTAAAGACTGTTTAATCATTTCTGACAGCTGCCAGTGGGCGTATGTTACCTTGCCTGGCAAGCTATCTTTTTTTTATTACATTCTCTGTAAATTGTAACGTTTACATACAGAATCATCGCTTATACAGACACCTATATGACACTCATCCTCTAAGAAAATCGATTTTGTTATGGTGATGCGATTCGATGTAAACGTTTTTTTTTTAATCTAAAGGTATAAACGTAGCCTAAATATTTCCACGTGTTCCCGCGAATCCAGGTCGCTTTCTCAACCATAAAATTGCCATGCGCGATTGCGCGTTGAAAAGCCGATATAGTGTGAAAAGCTGTTGCACTTAGTCATTTTTGACACAATTTTAGTATTTCATTTTCAAATGCTCATGCTGAACATGTAATTAAAAATAAATCAATTAAAAACACACACAAAATTACCACTTAGCATGGTTTCGAAGGTATTCGGCTGTTAAAAGTCAAATATAAAAATCAACATGTCGGCCGACCGGTTCTGACGGTTTTCTTCAAGAAAGGTTCAATTTCGTTTTATTTAGTTGATTTTTATTTGAGCAACAATTTCTACAGAATCGGGTTCATGAAATGTTCCTTTTGCGTAAGTAACCTTATGTAACAAAATTCGCGAAATATCGTTAGAATTTTAATCCAAACTGTTGATGCGTTCGAGTGGATGTAAACCAAAACGTAACCCATTTAGGGGAGAGGCTCACTTTCTTATTCAACAGCTCTTACAGAATTAAATATTCTAAAGAGGCCAGGCTATTGGTGTGTTAATGTAATTAAAAATAAAAATAAGATACATAGAGATTACAATTCTGTAGAGAAAAACACAAACACATTTCATGCAATTCATAATACATGAACAGTAGTTACCTCCCTTTATCCAATGCTATTAGTTTCATGATTCAATGAATCGAGATCATATTAATAATCAAAACGGACCACATGGATTATTATAAGACGTGATCCAGCTGCATAGATTTGAAATAAATGAGATCAATGAGCAAACGAAACGTAAGAATAAACGTAATTTTATGATAACTATTTTCTTATCAGGTAGATACTCTTAGTACCGCACTCGGGTCTATTCCACAAGAATGGAAAATATTAGTTGACAGGGAATTTTTTTGTCTTAAAATGCTTGGGATCCAGAGGGGGTACAGGGGAGGGGGCGGGGGGTCAGGAAAAGTGGTTTACACCCTCAATTATGCCTCCACTTTATTTCAACAAATCTAAATGTCTACCTTTTTTCTCCAGGATATGTGTCAGAACAAATTTTCTTGAGAGAACCATCTAAGACGCTCTATGAGAGGCTTGCGACTATGACACCACCACAGAGTAGCCAAAATTTGAATTCAGCCTCAGCAGTTTTGTCATTGAGTTAGTCCCTATTTGTACCCCCAGTCTCGGAAGCCTGGGATCATTGTATTGACGTGAGGTATAAGTAGGTACAAATTTTGTTGGTTTTTCAGTATAGAATTCTTTAATGAATTGACTTTGAATGGCTTGACTCTTAATATTATACTACTGCAAATGATTGGCGCTTTATGGCTACATGTTTTGACAGACAGTTTCAAAGGTTCTGCTCGTAAAATTTTTATTTCCGCTTGAGGTTATATTTCCTTAGCCTGTTTGACCAAATTTGATTAACCTTTTTATTTTGTTATTTAGGTATACTTTAATCCAATGGTTTCATTCCGATCTGACGACGTAGAAGATGAAAATAGTTTTCCTCAAATGGAAAAGAAAGAAGTATTTAATATTAGGGGCAGTGATAATTCTTATATTTTTCTATGTGATAAATTTTACCTCTTTAAAACATTCTCAGACAGACTTTAGTTATCTACGTTTACCAAATGACAATCTTCCCGAACTCACACAGACCAATCTGGAGGAACTGCCTGATTCCGGGCTTGATAAAATCCCCAGGATCATACATCAAACATGGAAAACAGCCGACATTCCCGATTTATACATCGATTGGATTAAATCTTGGCACACCCTGAACCCTGATTGGGAATATTGGTTCTGGACTGACGAAAACACCCGTGCATTCATTGCACAAAAATATCCATGGTTTTTAGATGTGTTCGATAATTATCCCGAACCTATTCGCCGCGCAGATTCAATGAGATACTTTATTTTGTATGAATTCGGTGGAGTGTATGTAGATCTAGATATGGAAAATCTCAAATCATTGTCGCCATTGATCAAAAAGTATTATTGTTTTCTAGGACAGGAACCGTACGTTCATCCCATGATCGACTCAAATTTTGAACATTTGCCCATCAATGCCATAATGGGGTGCCGGAAAGGTCACCCTTTCATGAAATTGTTGATGGACCAACTCCCTAAATTTTCTAATATGTGGCATGTGCTCGATTCCACGGGTCCCCATTTTATGCGACTTTGGTTTAAAGATTATAAGAAATATAATTATAATGCTGAACATGAAAATGGAACATTTTTAACACCACCGGAATGGTTCTTTCCGTTTGTTGATCCAGTAAAAATAAAGGATTTTCACGCAAAATGCAGTAAATATGACTCTCTACTTCACCATCAGAAAAGAGCTTGCCAATTTATCAAAGAATATAATGGTGTTCCGTCCAATTTGAAGCATGCTTTTACTAATCATCATTGGATACATACCTATTTCATATCGAGATACAGTCTTCAACCCCCTCGTAATATACATTCCATTGTACCTTCTGTAAAAATCTGGAAACCATAATAATTAATTTTTAAAAATAAAAGTTAATTTAATTTAAATGAACCGATGTTTTATGTTTTAGTCATACAGTTCTGTAGCCTACAATTATTTTTTGTTATCGACACGTAGTCAACCAATTCTTATACTTTCATAAATCCATGAAATCCATGTAACTACTTGTGATCTGGACCAGTAGTTCTATAAACGAGTATCCTCTATGACACATGTTAAAGAAATTGTTTTATTTGCATAATTAAAAAGATAAAAAAATTATATTCAGTAGTTTATGAGTAAATTTTATACTTGGTTGCCCTTATTTTAAGCACCGAAGTGGGATAGGATTTTGGAAATTTGTACACGGTAGGTTATTCCGACTTGATTAATATCCCACCTCAGGCACAGACATGCAGGTTACACCATTTAAGATTAGATCTTGGGTTCACTTTAGTTGGTTACGCTAAGACGCTAAATCCAATCACAAAGAAATCTTAATCCTCCATTGGTTACGTACTGGGCGATTTTTAGAAGAGCCTGTTTGATCGAAACTAGTCCACAGCAACAAAAAATAAAAAATGAATGAAGCGGATTCGTTTGCCTCTGTTAGTGCAATGAATGTGATTAATTGAAATGTGTCTGGACAGCACATAGTTTCATTGATGATCATTAGTGTGATGAAATTGACCAATTAATATGGAATGTAAGTAGGACCTCTATATTTTTCGATCAATAATATGTCTATCAGAAGAGCGTGTAGTTGTTATAGTCTTGTTTTATTTGTCACTAATTATGAAAAGTGGTAAGTACTAAACGCTGTACAGTAATGCTGTTTTGGATATATAAATAAACCAAGTACTAACAATCCGAACCGCAAAGAGAAACCCGAAATCCAAAACAACATTAAGACCAGATATTGATAACAGTTAATGACTTGTTCACATGAGGAAGTATATTAACCATAAGTGAATAGGATAAGTATTTCGTAATGAAAAGTGGTATCAGGTGTCTAGAAGAGTATATCGGTCAAACACGAATTCTGAATATTCGGCCATATTTAAAAGAGGTCGCACCATTCAAGACGTTGTAGTAAAGTCATCAACGTTTTGCTTGAGATTTTGATGGAAATTGTTCTGCGTTTCATTTATTAACAAATGCTATTTTAATCATGATTCGGATAACTTTTATTTCAAGAGCTATTATTACTTAAGGCCCCTGACTGTTCAAGAGCAGATAATTGTGTTCATTGTTTGATGGTATTTTATAGGTTTATGTAAGCCTCTGAGCCTGATGACATATTCTTATTAGATTGATGCAAGCTGAACTATTTTTCAAAAAGTTTTGAACCCATCTGGATCGGCACTGCCTAGTCAGGCGTCACTTGTCACTATTAACAACAGGCCATTATTCCACGACACGCGACCATTTAAAAGAAATACAGCTTAAGAATCCCACGCAATTATTTGTGTCGTATCAACGAAACCAATTGACCATGACTTAATCCTCGACCAATCAGAGTATGTTATGAAATTTGAGTCCTGAGTAGGATGTCGTCTTACTTAAGCATCTGCTGCAGATTATAGCTCATAAATTTGTTCAACATCGTTTTTTATTTTAGATCTTGTTTGCTTGAGTGATGGGTTGTATAGAGTGAAATCGAAGAAAGAAACATGTAAAACTCTGACTAAAGGAGCAGTCGTTATCATCCTTCTCCATTTTCTTATTCGCTTTGAGCAGGTGCGCGAACATGGGGATTTTGCGTCTTTGAATATCCCTGATTATGACGCCTCACTTCCTCCACTTCCGCCGGAAATAATGGAAGATTTTCCAACCACCGGAATAGATAAGATACCTAAAATCATCCACCAAACATGGAAGAGTACAGCTGTGCCCCAGATGTTTGTTCCATGGGTGAAAACATGGATGAAACGTAACCCTGATTGGGAATATTGGTTTTGGACAGATGAAGCCACTAGAAAGTTCATTGCAGATAAATATCCAGATTTTCTTCCAACATTTGATGGCTATTCTCAACCCATTCGACGTGCAGATGCAATGAGATATTTCATTCTATATGAATATGGAGGTGTGTACGCTGATTTAGATGTAGAAAGCATCCAGTCGTTTTCACCGATTATCAAAAAGTATAGTTGTTTCTTGGGACAGGAACCTTTCGTACATTCTGTTTTAGACACAAATTTTGAACATCTAGTCATCAATGCTGTTATGGGATGTCGGAAAGGTCATCCCTTTATGAAATCTCTAGTCGAGAAATTACCATTATTTTCACACATGTGGCATGTATTGGACTCGACAGGCCCACATTTCGTTACTCTATGGTACAGAGAATATGAAAAACATCATTATCCACCGGACCATGTCAATGGCACCTACTTAGCCCCAGCCCACTACTTCTTTCCCACTTTTGACCCCGCTAAAAGTTTCCATTTTCATTCGCAATGCGCTAATTTTCAAAATTTGAATCAAATGGGTAAACGTGCGTGTATTCATTTGAAGAAAACAAGCCTCCATCCGTATGACATGAAGAACTCGTTTGCAAACCACCATTGGGTACATACTTATTCCTTGATGTTCCGCCTTCCTCTTAAAGGACCAGAAGATATACGCGATTTAGTTCCAGGTGTAAAAGTGTTATAGTGAGCTTCCATTGTGCAGTGTGCCGTATTTTGTGTAAATTCAGTAAATTTGCTGAAACTTTTTGGATCTTCACATAGTACATTTATTCAATATTCTGCCATTCATTGTATATGGAACCGGAATTGCTATGTATCGTATTGGATGTACATGTATATTCTATTATGAGGAATCGCAAACACCACGTTCGTGATAAATCAATCATAACGCATTCATTACTCAGCAAAGCACCATCAAGCTTGTTGATTTGGACTATGTCTAGGAAGTGGAATATTATTTTGTTGATTACAATTATTTAATTCATATTTTATTATTAAAGCTTAATATTTTGTCCTTATATAAGGTAATTAAATGTAACCTTGAAGTACTTTGACCAGGAATTGTTATCTTTCGACAAACGAGTCCCATAAATTATTTGTTTCAACTAAACAATTTTTAGTCGTATTTTAACTATTAAAGTTACATATTTGTCCATATATGGTGTTAATTTGGAAATTTATGCCAAACTGTAGACCGGTAGCCAAACTTCCGTTAGCACCACACATGAATATAATGGAATATTCATATTCTAAACTTATTGAACAATGTATTATTCAGGCTAGCCAGCTTTTCCAATGGCGAGTGTTGATTTTGACCAAACCGTGACCATAGAGAGCGCCGTCGTGATTTCAAAACTTCCAAAAAGCCTATTTCACTCATTGTAATGTATTCACAATCTGGTATAGTCAAACTAAATTCATTATTCCACTTTGAAGTTTCGATCGTTATAGAAGTTTGATTTTTAGAATTGCAAAATTCTTCAATTTCTTCTGATAACTCTGAGTAGTATTTCACTTCTTCGAAAAAGTCATCATCTTGCTTCGACATTGTTTCGTTGAACTTCGACAGAAAGTAGTTGTACAATTTGAAATCCAATGGCGAATGATGTCGATATACTTCAACTTCATTTGGTGAAAGTTGGGTCTTACAATTACTTGATTTAGACCACGTGTTTATCTTAATTTGGATCACATCTTTCAACGACCACCCCAATAGGCGACGCATATATATGATAGATTCTTCAAAACGTTCAGCAACTAACACAAAATCGAAGAATTGGCCTATATGTTGAAGGTAATCTTTGAAAAAGTCAAGGTCATTGAAATATCTCGTCGGGTATCCAAAATCGCCTGTCATTCTGTTACGAGTATCTGATAGTAACTCTTTATCATAGCTCTTGATATTTTGTAGAAAATTATGAACGAGTTCTGATCCTTTACCACTGACCATGTTCAAGTAATAATTCTTGTCGCCTGCGAATAGTTCTCTATAGTAACAAAACGCCGACATAAACCTGGTGACCGGATTACGTACAGATGCAATATACACCGTGTCGGCAGGTAAGAGAGTTTGAAAAATCTTGTCATTGAAAGTACAGTGGTAGAACAACATGTCGAATGTCTTATTTCCAGGTGGAGGTAAAACGTGCCAGATTGGCTTACCAGAATAATCTGACAGATAATTTCCTCGTGAAGGTAACAATTCTGTCAAGTTGTGATGTAATACATATCTGTTAAAAATGTTTTGAATCGTTGTACTTCCGGTTTTATGAACTTTTAAATACCCCACGTGATTCTTTACTTCCGCTTCTCGATGCTTCATTAATTGATAACGGAATGGATTCTGTAACGGTTGGTTTGTATCTGCGATGGTTAAATGAAAGAGGTATCCAAGTGAATCTCGTTGTCTGCTGTAAATTAATCTAAAAAAAAAGCATGAATTGAAATAACTCGTGGACATGATTTTAATTTTTTTTAGATAAGTTTATTGCGTTAGCACGTGCATGTATAAAACATCCTGCAGTAGCATTATTTACTGACCTATGTAGATAAAATAAAGTAATAAATAAATATATATTATATAAATACAACGATGAACATATTTAATGTAAAAATACACTTTTTATCCAGTAAATTAAATGATTAAGATAGGGCCTACAATTATACGGTGAAATCAAAGTTCTCATTGCAAAAAACAATTCCCAACCTAGCTCTACACCAACATTGGATTCAAATGATTCAAATTCAGACTATCCGAATGAAAAATTGTATTGTGATACCTCTGCAAATTTGCAGACGATTTAAATTGCAGCGAGGCTTTTAAAGATATTGAAAGCTACTTTCTATGCCGATCTATATTTTTGTTGGGAAATTTAAATTTAAATGAAATAACTTACAAGCTACAAAAACATACTACAACTGTCAAAATCAGGAAAATTTTCTTCTTTCCTGAAGCAATTTGACTGACCGTACCTGTAACCATTGTCTGACATGTTCTGGTATTACAAATGATAAAGTCACTATATCGATATTTTAATGAAGCTTCAATGTTTGTTTTTGAATAAATCAACACTTTCGTGCTTCTCTTAATTGCCATTTCCATTTATAGTTTAAATATTAAGTTCATTTAGGCCCTACCTAATGGTATGTTTGTGATATCAACAGCTGGGTTTTAAATAACTTTCTGATATACTGTCAAAGTCAGTCTTCCCTGGAGTAATTAAAGTGTAGCACTGTTAAAGACCACCATTATGATGTTACTATGGATCCATATATTTGGAGAGCGATTTTAAATCCCCTAATTCGAAGCTTAGACCGTTGATTATGTTGTGACCCTTTATTTATATGAACACCGTATAGCCGTACCCTTTCACTTGGCATCATTGTTTTGTACCAAGACACCATTGTGTATGCTATGCAGTCACCTCTACTCACTCTTTGACAAAATATCGTGTAGTTCTGTTGTTGAAGTGAATCGTGGAAATATCTCAAGAACGCCAAGAGCGAATAGATTTCTTTTTCATCGGGTAACTACACTGTTGTACATTTATCAATTACCGTGCAATTATTTCACTGGAAAATAGAGTCTACTTGCTCGTGACAAGATACTGGAAGTAAACAAAAATATTACGTTCACAGTCATTTTTATTAGACTTTTAACTTCGTACAAGCCTTAATTGATAAAGTGGTCAGGTTTTGGAAACAATATGGGAAATAAAGTCACAACTTTTACTGAAGATCAGCTTGAAGCCTATCAGGTAGGTCCCAGGTGTCGAGGAAATTTACTTTCTAAAGGGTGCGTCTTCGTTGTCGAAAATACTCAAATGGGTAGCATGTTGATGTAATGAAAAACAGTATGCTTATTGCCATTTCTTTTCTGCCTTACTGGTTTCTTACTTTTGCCCCCAATAATCACAATTAAAAGGTGATTTCATTTGTTATTTCAGGATTGCACATTTTTCACCAGGAAAGAAATTTTGAGGTAAGATATTAGCCTATTGGCCTATTGAGTATATTTTTAAAGAAATATGTAATCTGTGGATTTCACTTATTCTGTGTGCATTTTGTTAGTCAGTGGTATTGGAATATATATTAGAGATGTGAACTAAACTAACTGAGGCATAATAATTCAATAACTGTACACAAGCTGGGACAATTTAACATCTAAAAAGCATCAAAATTTGGGTTGGCTCCAGGTGGTGTTCTGAAATTATGATTTATTATTATTCCTGTGGTTAAAGATATTATTCTCATGTCCATACTTCGAGACAAGTTCGGAATGTTTGTTTAAAGACATGTGCTTAGGGGTCTGTCTGTTGTTATATTTCTACCTCTATGCACATGCCAATGTTTTATACAATTTACTTACTGATTATCATTAGAGTATTTAAAAGATATCAAGAATTATCACCAGATTTGATACCATTCAATATGACTGGAGATGAAAGTAGAAAAATCAAACTTCCTAGTGATGTGATAGAACAAATGGCAGAATTAAGTGTAAGTATTGAAGTGAAATAAGAATAGAGCTCATAAAAAATCATGGGCCTATGTCAGAATATGTGGGTATAGATCTTATTAGGACTGTTATGTACTTTAGTCAATATTTTTATCCATATCTGTCATGAATATGTAAGGAATCCACGAGAATTAAGAAGAAAGTTCATCATGCATCATGATGTCTTCATGAGGAGAATGAATTCAACTAAAACCCCTAAAAATTTTGTTTGAGGGATGAACATTTTTTTTGTATGGAAAATGACTTCCAAAGCTTCTTAAAATGGTAAAATCTCCCCCTGTACCTCACATGGCCCCCATCATCAGCTGATATTTTACACTTCCTCTATTTTTTATATCACTACTGAGACATAGTACAAAAGTTTTATTACAATAAGTACTGCAAGTACTGTGATGCCAGCTGGGTGTCACTAATGACTTGGAACATGCTCAATTTTCTGGAACAATGGATAGCTATTAATGTCATGTGTTTATTTACACATGTTCTCATTACAGGAGAATCCATTTAAGAGTAGAATTTGCCAAGTATTTTCTGAAGATGGAAATGGTAGCTTGTCCTTTGATGACTTTCTGGACATGTTTTCTGTGTTCTGTGAAGCTGCACCAAGAGATATCAAAACTGCTTACAGTTTCAGAATCTATGGTCAGTTGAAAAACATTGGTTTTATTTCATTTTTGTCTGCATAAAATAATGAATATACCAAAGTCGAATTGTTGTTGATTCATGTTTTTACTAATATTTTCATATCAATGTAAAACTTTCAGTAATGAAATAAACAAATGGGTGCTTGAATTAATTTGTGTGATGAAAAAACAAAATCTGATTTTCTGATAATGTAATAGTTGTAAGAACAGAGTCTGTCTTTGTTCATGAGAATGTGATTTCTTAGTTTAATTATATTAAGAATATGGCTCAGCACATTAGACATCTGTTGACAGAACTTTGAAATATTTACAAATCAATACGTCAGTTGTAAAGTTATAACTTATTGCTATTATTATGATTCTTTCATTATCATACAAGTTCAAGTTAAAGGGATTGTTAAGCTGTTTTCTAAATTTTTTAAGGTCATGGGGACACTGATAGCAACAAATACACCATTCCAATTTTCAATCAGATGTCTCTGGTTTCTGCAATTCCACTAAAACTTAGTGTTTGATGACATCATTAAACACAGAATTTTGCAATTAGTGACGTCATCAAACACTTTATTTTAGTCTTATTGTCACAGACATCTTCTAATAAAAAACTGGAATGGTGCAAATTGATGCTATCAGTGTCCCTGATACACATACAACTTTCAGAAAAACACTTTACAATCCCTTTAAGTATAATAATTATCATATTTTTTTCCAAAATAACCAGATTTTGATGGTGATAGCTATTTGAATAAAGAAGATTTAGAGAAAACCTTAAAGAATTTAACTAGAGATGAGTTAACTACAGATGAAGTTAATTTTGTTGTGGATAAGGTAGGATAAAATAAAGAATATTGCTTGATTTATTATACCCCCTCCCTATATATGGTTGATATATATATCTGCTAGGTTTTACATATCTGTTAAATTATATATATATGACCAAATTTGTTTCTGCTAGGTTTAATTATATTATGACTTGACTTGTATCTCCTAGGGTCTTATAAAATAAAGCCTCATTTATATCTGCTAGGTTTTATATGTTATATAATGACTTGACTTGTATCTCCTAGGTTCTTATAAGATAAACCCTCATTTATATCTGCTAAGTTTTATATGTTATATAATGACTTGACTTGTATCTCCTAGGTTCATAAAAAAAAACCCTCGTTTATATCTGCTAGGTTTTATATGTTATATAATGACTTGACTTGTATCTCCTAGGTTCTTATAAGATAAACCCTCATTTATATCTGCTAGGTTTTATATGTTATATAATGACTTGTATCTCCTAGCTTCTTATAAAATAAACCCTCATTTATATCTGCTAGGTTTTATAATTAATTAGACCTGATTGATATATTCTAGGTTTTATATTTAATTAGACCTGATTGATATATTCTAGGTTTTATATTTAATTAGACCTGATTGACATATTCTAGGTTTTATATTTAATTAGACCTGATTGATATATTCTAGGTTTTATATTTAATTAGACCTGATTGATATATTCTAGGTTTTATATTTAATTAGACCTGATTGATATATTCTAGGTTTTAGAAGAAGCTGATCTAGATGATGATGGCATGTTGTCTTATATTGAATTTGAACATGTGATTTCTCGAGCTCCTGATTTTCTCAAGTAAGTATATAGATTAGGGTTTTGTCTATTGAAATTTCTGAAATTCCCTTCAATACATTAATTCTCGCAAAGTTACCAAATAACATGACTTGCATAATAAACTCTCCCTACCTTTTTTTTTATTGAGAAAGTGTGGCATCAATACTGATGTTTTTCTTTTTCATAATTAATTTTTTGTTATTTTCTATTTCAGCACGTTCCATATAAGGATATAGTTTTTTTACCAACTTGGTTGTTTTGTCTAGTCCCTCCTTTTTTTCCTATGCAATTTATTATTACATATCTTATTAAAGTTGTGTGAAACAGTGCTATTGATAACCAAACAAAGATATTTATGCTCATCAGAGAACAATTTTAAACATGAACAGAAAAAGTCCAGTTTGGCTAGAAATAGTTTAAGTAGTGTATCTGGATTATTTGGTTTCAATTATTATTTATTCTACCCAGAAATATCATAGACTGATAGTTTATATATATATACAAATCACAGAAAAAAATTAGACACAATTAGCATTTCAAGAAGATTGGGGAAACCAAAAAGATGTTCATAGATATCTTCGTCTGACTAAAGCTGTTATATTTTATGATCATGTAATTTGTTACAGGATCCTTCTAGTGATAAACTCTTGGTATTTTTGTCCATTCTCTGCTATTTTATCTTTAAACTGAGATCAGGTCATTATCCCCACATGTATTTGTTATAATATACAATATAATGCTTTCTTAGTGATATCACAGATTCTACAAAAAAGAAGAAATCCATATACAGAGAAATCTATAATTGCTCTTAAACCTAGACCTAAACTGGCCTTTAAACTTGGGTGTTTTGTATTGATCATTTCTTTCTTTAACACAAACTTTCATATATATGTAAAGATGAGGTTCATTTGTTTTTTTTTTTCAATTGTTTTGTATTGTTTATTTTTTCACTATTATTGTTCAGAACTAGTCACACTAAGCATATCACTTGTTTATTTCATAGATATATATATGTGTATTTGTATATTTTGTTTATTCATTTCACCTTGTTGATATTATGGTGAAAGTTGAATTGTGTGCTATCAGCTTTTTCTTCCCCTTAGAGTTGGCAGCTATTCTCCTGGCAGATGTCTTTCCAAGTTATTTCCCTTGAGAGACATCAAGATGGGATACAAACCATTTGACCATTTTCCAACAGGGAATTATGGATTAGCATTGTCTTTGAAACTACGCCATTTAATACCATGCCAAATAACGTCTCTTTGCCATAGACTCATTAGTGTAAGGGTCACCGGTTGGTTATGTCATGTGAACAGTTATCTGGAAAGGAATATCAGTCGTTTTGTCTCAATTTTCTTGTGGTCACATGTTTCCCAATACTAAAAAGTACTAGTCCTTTTAAGCATTGGCAATGTTATTATTTGTTATTAGTTGTTATTACTGTATATTCCAATTGTTATCTTTATTTCTTTTACATCCCAATAAAGAATTCCTCGAGTCCTTTGTTTTTATTTATTTTATTAGCGTATCGTTCGTATCCTCCCGTAGCTGGGGGTACAAACTGTGCGGCCACTGATTCCAACATCCCGGAGTCCAGTTAAGTATATCTAGTAATTAATTTGAATCCCAAAATGGTTCATCTTTTTATTGATATCAATGGCGATATAAAATACAATCAGAGTCTTAATGGATACAGTGTTCTTAACAACCGTTGTGCAAGCTGATAAACCCCAAATTCAGCTATCCATATTTCTTTCTGGAATTTAATCAAGTCATCCAACCAATAGCAATTCGATATGTACCGTGGACATCTTCACATCAAGACCGATATGATCAATGTTAATAAGATCCCCTTGTGATATCGCTGATATTTAGGCTACTATAGACCTGTTAATGCACAGGGTGTCTTGCTCATTGAGCACTTTCAGCTGGTAAGGGGAATATTTAAGCTGCTATACACCCCTTCATGTACAGGATGTCTTGCACATTGAGCACTTTCAGTTGATAAAGCGGATATTTAGGCTACTTTACACCGCTTTATGGACAGGGTGTTTGGCACATCCACTGGTAAAGCGTTTAACAAGGTTTTCAACATATCTCATGATTCATTTTCTGATGTAAGAGAAAATATTCACAGAGAAACAGGTGTTTGAAATCTGCCAGGTAGTTTAGTATTTATATAGGGTACTATATTCCACCAGACATGATTATTTCCAAAAACTATTTATTACAAAAATTAACAATTTCTAAATAAATAAACCTGTTTATAAAAACGTTAGTATGTTATTAAAATCATTGCTGACGATATGGTGATAAGTGGTGGATATGCTCTGATATTTCTTGGATCCGGGATGCAGTGGCGAATCTAGTCCCCCCCCCCCCCCCCCCACCTCCTCCTCCGTCTCAAATTCAATACCATACGTGCGTGGTGCTGTTGGCTTCCCTTGACAATTATGTGTCCCCCACTTGCCCCCTCCACCTAATGCCTTATAGAAACGCCACTGACGGGATGCTCAAAGTTTGGTGGATGGTTCGGAGGTGTATTCTGGGTTGTCTATCCCTGATTTTGCTTTACCATTAGTTACTGGCTTTTTTTCGTCCATTTCCAAATCCAGCGTCTCGTTAATCTGTACCTCTGTTAGGTTATTGAAGTAGTTTCTGAAAACATGACTGAGAATACCAGCCCCAATCGAGTCACCAATAACGTTGATAGCAGTTCTAAATCGATCTCTGAAAATAAAGTCGTATTCATTTAAATAGGCCTATAACAAAAATATCATTTATACCTAATGTGCATCGTATCACGAATACGGGTTTTGCCATGGTCTTAGTAACCCGAGGAAGTATGACGAATGGGGTGTGGTTTGGACACGATGCCTGATGGTAGAACTACATACAGAAAAGTCACCCATGTTTTTGAGCTGACTGATCTACAAACACTTACTGATACAATCCACAAATGTGACAACGGTTCCATGGTAAAACTTTTATGCGAGCACAAGAACAAGTTTACTCAGAATTTCGGGGCATTATTAGTGAACATTCTCTTTATGGACATGCACATTTATCTAGACAGAAAATTTCGATACCGGCGTTTCTAGTGGAGTAGAATATTTCTTAAATTCAATATTATAATATCATATTTTAATATGGATCGCGAAGCTTCTAAAATACTGATACCAAGCCACGATATGACCAGCAGTTGATGCTGAAGTCGCAGAACAAACGACACAGTAAGTAACCAATTTATACTTACAGCAGCCAGTCGATGGCTAGGATGAGCGTGACATCTTTAGTTGGTAAACCAACGGCAGTGAGAACGATTAACATTGTAACTAAACCAGCTTGTGGTACACCTGCTGCTCCGATAGCTGCGGCTGTGGACGTTAAACTATAACAGAGTAAAACAATACATCAGACAGATTTCCTAGGTTTGGTCATGATTGATCATTGATGTTCGACTGCTTATATACCCCACAACTTTTCAGAATGAAAATGTGATCGGTCAGCAAGTATACAGGTGGGAATGGTCAATAGTCATTATTTGCAGGCTGTAATATTCATTAAATTCAGGATTTGATGACTTTAACAATGTCTAAGCTGCTTAAATAATTATTTGTGAAACGTGATCTCAAATGCTCAAAAGCCTGGTCAACATTGTCGGTTGAAGAACTTGGTGTCTGATAAGTGTCCAAATGCCTTTAAGCGATATACGATATGCATTTTATGGAACAACAATCAATGGTTAGTTTTATGCAACGTTTGACTTGTTTCCCTCGTTGTCCCCAGGCACACTGTGGCCATATATTTGTGCCAGATGTCCAGAGGGCGGGGTCATCTTTAACTCACCTAACAATGATAATATCGGCTATCCCTAACGTGATACCATTGGCCTGAGCTATAAATATAGCTGCCACTGCTTCATAAAGTGCTGTTCCATCCATGTTAATAGTAGCACCAATAGGAGCTACAAACTTAGCCACGAGAGGGTTCACACCATTCTTATTGATCAAACAATCCATGGTAATAGGCAATGTTGCTGAACTGTAATAGAGCAATGAAATGTTTCTAATATCAAATACACGTACGTATACCAAAATAATTACTATATATAACATATGGGCTCGAAGAAAAAGACGTGGATTTGGAACTGCAAGGATAGCTGTAAATAACACAAATGTGACCTAGGCCAATGCTTTTATCTAACAAATATCTTAGAATTCATCTTTTGACAATGACATCCCCGATGAGTTGCAGAGACTCCCAACAACTTACCTGGAAGCTGTACCCCAGGCGGTAATAATAGCTCGTAACATTCGGTATAAAAACACGAAGGGATTTTTTCTGGTGGCAACGAAATAGATGAGTGGAAGAATAATAGCACCATGTATAAACAGTCCAGCTATGACAGTACCAAAATACAATCCTAACTGAGTAAACGTCTTCTCTGGACTTTCCATGGCAACAAACTTAGCGGCAATCAAAAACATGATACCAATTGGTGAAAACCTGGGGAAAAAAACAAAAAGATAAAGTAGTCTGTGATTATCTATTTGCCCAGATAGTAAAGTCAATTTCAAATGTCCATTGCAGCATAAAAAGGCTTGAAATCCAATGTAGAAAAAATTCTAAATCGCTCTACAATAACGCTAAATTGAGTACTATTTTAACAGTGAAAATATTTTGTTATGAAACTCATATATACGTTTGCATGTTTACATGCTGCTGTGATTCCTGTGAATACGAATTTTACAACTGGAAGTGACATCTTACCAGATAACAAGTCGAACTAGCACCATAATAACGTCATTTATAGCTTCAAACAGATCACGTAATGGTTTGGCTTTTTCACCAACGTGATTGATGGTACTACCAAAAAATACAGAGAAAACAACCAGCCCCAAGATATTCATTCCACTTTGGCTCACTATCTTTACACTTTGTGTTGTTTCATCTACAACAGTGAAATAAACTTTGTTTTAAGCTAGTTACTATAGTTACTCCACTGATATCCATCCACATCAAATCAAATCGACAATAAACTAGGATAATGTGGCAAATTGCAATAAAGTCCAATCATTCTTGAACGAACAGTCTGATTTTTTTTCGTATGCTGGGAAAGATAGACCAACATCTAAAGCAAAAAGATTCAACTACTAATAACTCAAAAATTATTTAAATGGTTAACCTTAGTAGGTATTGCTAATGCGCGTATTAAAAGAAAATAAACGCCAAATTGTCAAAAAAATACGTTTTCGACTTCTGCTGAAGCTCATAACACCAAAAACCGAATAATAACTTTACTATTGATTAACAGTACGTTTTCAAAACAGATTGATCGAGTATATACATAAAAGTTTAAAGCAGAGAAACCTCTCAGGTATAATTTACAACATTTTTGACAATAAAAACTTTGAATACTTCCTCATACAATGTCATGCATTTGGGCATTGATATGTTTCAAGCTTTGCAAATATAGCCTTTCGTATTTTAACAATTCCGATTGCTATAAAACTTAATACAATATATTTTGTTAAACAGTGCACATATAACATTATATTATGGTTTTGGACAACATTATGTTTCTAATAAAACTTTGAACATGTATTTGAGGGTAATCCTTTGATAGCATTATTATTTGAAGAGGTGTATATAGAAATAATCATATCATATCCTCTCACAAGAAGTAGGGACTAAAATTAGTGGGGAATTTTTTTACTTTCCCTGATAGAAACTAACCAAATAGAAGGAATGAAATAAAACTGATATTGTGCACCAATGTGCTCTGACGTACAATATCCGTCGTATGCAATAAGTGAAAAATCACATATATATCAATGCCCAGTGTATTTTGTCCCTTCAGAATTACTAACAACTTTTATCAAGACATTCCCTCAGAAGTGGAAGTTTTTATCATTTTTTCAATCATCTGTAATAGAAAATTGTAAACCAATTCCACTTTTTTGTAGGTTAACAACTATTCAGCTTCATACGTATACAAGCACCTGGCTAAAAATCTCAATAAATTAAAAAAAAGGTTGAATTAGGATCGTACGTAGAAATACGTACTTTGATAGACTGTTATATTCTCAGTACCATTAGTTATAATTTTTTTAACTTCTTCAGTAGTTTCTGTGTATTGAGTTTCTAACTGAAAAATACATTGAAATAAATTAGAAAGTGTTAGATCTTTCCCCAGTTAGTGTTGAAATTTCCAACGCAGACTCGCTTCTACCACTATTTGAGTGGCAGTCATCGGTTTGTCTGAGTGTTATCAGTGGCGGCGCCCGTCTATGGTACTGGGGGTATATATGGAAGGGGGCAGAGTGACCTAACGGGAGGAGAGGGGGGGAGGGGGAGGGGGGACAACTGTCGATGTTGAGATTCAATATTCGGCAACTACCAGGAAGTGCAAAGACGATCGATGTAATACGATGATCAATAAAGCGAAAGCACCCACCTTACTAAAGCAAGCTTCAATGATGTTTGGTGGAAAACAGTTTCTGTAAGAAAAAAGAGGGAAGGTTATATGAAGAGTTCCGTTGTCGACATTCTTACGTTTAGTAAATGTCAATGCATGACATCAGTGGTAATAATCTAACGTGAGTATGTTTTCTTTTTTAATTCTTTGCGTCCAGACATTTCTGTCAGCAATTCAGTTGTATCAGTCGGTGAAGTATATATTTAGATGGTCATAACCCATAAAGTGTTTTGATTTATAGATTACATTTTTTGTTTAATTCTTTGGAACCAGACAGTTTCAGTTCTGAAATCCAGTTATATCAGACGGTTAGGATATATTTTAATGATCCACAAATATTATATCTTGTTTGTTTATTATCGAAAAGGGAATTCGGTGGATTAGGATTAGTAAAGAGATTAATTTATTGTTTGATCACTGACCCACGATATACATTAATGGTATTTTTGAATCGGTCAGACGGAATGCTCAGTATGGCCAAAAACAAAGTGGTTTTACTTCAACCGGATTATACTTCAATGACCTATAAAAACTGAAGTAGATTTTACGACATGCGGCTCGTGCCCAAATGAACAACTGTATGAAATGGCCAATAACCCGCATAAAACGTATGAGGTCTTTCATCCAAATGGGCTACTGACAATGGGACAATATATTCATTCGACACTTCACTGGGATACTGATATGGGTCTAAAGATTACCAGGTATACTTTCCCATGGGCTAGTGAACCCCTCCCCCCCCCCTCCCACTCGTATTAATCTACCACCTAATAATACGAGGCTAACTAGTGTAGACTGATATAAAAAGCCTCCTTTATTGGTTGGTTGGTTGTTGGTTGGAAGATTACGGTTAAAGTCCGCTTCCAGCACGTGCTGATATCGCAGATTTGATATGAAGGGAGGTTTCGTGGCTATTGATATATATGTACCAAATTGGCTACTGTTATGAAAAGATGATCTGCGACAAACTACACTATAAAGACTGAAATTGCATGAGAGTTATACTTAAGGGGATAATACACAATCTCTTCTTTCGAAATATACACCATCTAGGATGAAAAGATAATATTGTTATTTTCGGTATACAAGACACATTGCATGATATGCGGGATTAAACTATTATCTATATCATTTTAATTTTTGATGCATACAAGAAGGCGAAACTTGCGTGTGAAGGGGATTTTTTTCTTATTATTTAGTAGTAGTACTTGAAACTGATTAGATATAAAGTAAATTGATTCGTGATAGGCGCGGAGAGACCAGGTACGGGTCCGAACACGTGGCGGACATGTGTGACTACATTTTCTATCGATAATACCCCAACGTAGTTCAGATACAGTATACATCCACCTTTGACATGTCCGATACACTGGTACATTGTACAGAGCAAAATTATAGATGCAGTAGAAAATTGTGTCCGCATCGTTACCGAAACCGTTGATCTGTATAGATAATCCAACACCACCCGCTTACTGTATATCTACGTCTACGGACATTTAAGCATTGTCTAACCAAGAATGTGTACGGAGCAATCGATGATTGGTACAATGGGCTGGAATTGGAATCTCCACGAGACAAACATTTTCAGATCCTAAAATTCTGGGTTCGCCTTGTGTTAGCTCTCAACCCTATCATAGCTTTCATTAATTTAATGTCTAATGCCTTTACGTGGTATAGTCAATGACGATACAATTTGGGCAAAAATTGAACTTGATTTCTTATATTTGATATATTGACAGCATTTACTGATGCATGAATCAAGTGACAACAGTTGGATTTAAAATGACCACGGTCATACAGCTCTATCAATTAGAAAATTGCTTATGTTCTACTTGAGTTTTTATAATGAATTGCTGTACCATCCACTGGGCGTCAGAATGAAATCAGTTTCAAATCGGTTCAGTGATCATTAAATTAAATTATGACTGCGTTCATTATGTTTGACCCAAATAATTTCTTTTATCAAAAACTGTAGGTATTTACTAGCAAATTGAAGGGTGTTATCGTATGTAAAAGCAACAAAAGCAAGATCTAATTCATATCAAAGTGACAGACGACGTAGCCTTGACCTAGTGTATATACAAGCATAATATATTCAGTCAACCACGAACACGTATTATATACTGTGTATACCTTGATACTCTTATTATGGATGAAATTGCGCCAAAATGAATCAATTATACAAAGCAGTGTTTCTGAACTGGGGTTGAGATTTACCCCCGGTGGTGAATAAGCCTTTGACGTGGGTGAAAAAAAAGTCTGGTTAATTGAGGGTGAATGGTCAGAAAAGTCATATGATTCGCTCATTGCGTTCACCATTAACCATTGATTCTGATTTCTCAGGTGTTGTGGGCTCACACTAAGAACTATACCAAAATCTGACGATATCGTAATATAAAATTATATTCAATAAATGTGACTTGAATTATTTACTTGATAATTGAAAGGGGTAGTGCAGAGGTAGGTGAACAGGGTAAAAAAAGTTGAGAAGCATTGGTATAGAGCCTATTAAATGAATATTACATCAACCTGTTCTACAACAAGAGCAGGTCGATATTGCGATCAACAGATTCTGGAAGCAACTAGATTTCCATCGACTGTTAGTGACTGGTGGTATCTGGGATATCTGAGTAATCGCTTCATGACGTCGTCAGGGGAGCACAGAGCACACCAGTTGCTCATGTTTAATTTTCTACAGAAATTAGATCTTATCGTCGACATAGCTTATGTGGTCGAAATCTAAGACCATTCATTTGATCGCAGTTGCTAGTTGGTCAACTTCTACATAGTTTCTACACATGTAACAGACTGTAACAGATCTGAGTTTGTCAGTTGACCTTGGATAGTTCGTTTCTTAATTTCACAGAACCATTATGGTGATATACATTTGAAAATGCCCTGAGGAAAAAGGCACGAGCCAAATTTGACTTCTGTGGGTCTTTGCCAAATACAATGAATTATTCCAATCCACAGAATCCAACCCGAAACGCTTGGACCACCCGAGGATTCATATATCCTTAAGATCTTCTACAAGCAACGCCCCACACTTTATTCGGCTCATAAAATAAATGAGTTTTCAAGCTTTACAATTATTCACTTTGAAGAGCTTTTGAAAGAAATTTGGTTTTTGACTTTTTAAACCTAACTGACTTATTAAAACTTAATGTAGTCGTTGCACTGAAATGACTACATTGCATATTCTGCACATAAAACTTAAATTTGTGATGCACAAAAAGAAGATTGTGATCTATAGTTATTTGGAAAATTATTTTAAATTTTAGATGTTAAGATGAAAACATATTATATAAACTGTGAGTGTGTTGGTTAATCGCCCATGCAATTAAAATTGTTAAAAAATGTTTTTTGTTAACAAAAACCAGAGAAACGTGTAACCAAAGATAATATTGTCCTCGGGCAACGGTAAAGTAGCTATCTTATAATCTAGGTTTATTTCATATATCATAAACTATTTCAGTTTAAAGGTTAATAACCAAGCGATGTTTACAAAATAGTTAATTTGAATGTTTTCATGCAATCAACATGAAAACGTAACTACATGGTATGGGGCAAGATATCACAAAACTATTCAACGGCTCAACTAGATGTGTGGGGGTTCGTGGACCTAAGTGGGTTGGGGCCCCCACTCGTTAACATATACTCCCCTGAAGTTTTTTTCTGGGAGTTGGTGTATCCCTTGAGGTTGCGGTAGTTAAGCCACTGAAATTCTGTTTTATAAACGAAAGAAATAGTATTTTCGAATTACTTTAGTATTGAAACTTGATGGACGACCAGAGCCATGAACTAGTCCAGTCGATCCAGTAGTGAAAGGGGTTCGCATACTTAAGGAAAGATCTTTGCCAAGGTGTTTGATTCCACCGATTAGACACTTGTTGAGTTCCAGGAGACCAAATATTATCACTTGACCGACTGTTTTAACAATAGAAAATAAATTCAATATTTTAGTTTAATCTTTAATTTGAAAAATAAAAAAAAAGTAAAAAGAATTTGAAATGCGAAAATAGAATAATATTACCTGATCAGATCTAGCAGAGAATCCAGAGGATTGCTGTCACGTGATGAACCAGCTCTGTCCAACTCATCTGACGAAAAGCCAGGCTGTATAGATACCACCAGAATAATTCCCAGAATGACAGCAATCAGAGTAGTGGTGAGATAGTATACTATAGCACCTAATCCAATCCGACCAGACGATTTGTTATCCATGGTGGCCAAGGCGGTGATGATACTGGACACAATCAGAGGCAGGATCAACAGCTTCAACATACTCAAGAGCAGCTGACCCGGGAACTCCAGATAGAAGATCTTTCGCTTCTCAGACGGTTCCCATACATCTCGTAATCCGAATCCCAATCCAATACCAATTATTACTGCTATTATCATAAAGATGACAATCAGATTATCCAGCAACACCTCCTTGATCATGGACTGTCGTTTAGTCGCCGCCATTTTGATTTTGAAATTTGTTCCTTATGCTTTAATCACCTGAAATGTAAAGTTTGTATTTCCGATACAGATACATTGTACAACCGTTTTCTTGTTTAGTTTTCTCCTGCTTAGATTACCGTAAAAGACCAACCATTGTGATGTTTGGTATTAAAAAAAAATCTGTACATACAAGACAATAGATATGGACTCCTCCAAAGAGAAGTACCATCAGGGGTTTCGAAAAGAGTAAGCATGGTCTGCTTCGCGCACGACACGCGCCACAACCACAATAGTAAAAATCATGAGATACAACCAGATCAATCATGCCTGACCAAACAAATTTTGTTCAGCCCTTGTTGATGAAGCTTTAAAAAGAAGGAGAATGGGCGCTGTTGGCGTAGCAACATCAGTGTGAGTGTCCTATATGGCGTTTATGGTAGTTGCTTGCGTAAGTGTCTGCAACCATTTCTGTTAAACCGAGCACCATGCTTTGGATTAACGATAATTGCAACAAAATTTAATAGCCACTCTTCACCATGTTTCTTAATCGTATCCTGATGTCCTTTTGAAACAAAAGCCATTGGGGTGTTTGACACAGATACGTGTTCCAAGGTCTGTGAGGACCATCGACTGACAGCTCTGGGGAATACCTGATCATGATATTCTTCTTCCAAAAGCAGTAGCAGAGCAGATCTACACAGTAGCGAATATAGGGCTACCCCCCCCCCCCCCCCCGCCTCCTCACCTCGAAGAGACACCTCTCATTTTTTGGCCACCCCCTCAGGAATTTTCTAGATCTTTCTGGATCTTCGCCTCATTATCAGAGAACTGATCTGGCAATTTTATATTAGGGTTTCCTGTTTATCACACTTCGCGAAATGCACGATATATTACTTCTTGGTTTTACATATCATTTAACAATGATTTAACAATTTTCCTTGATATTATAAAACAACTGTTAGAAATTTGGTATTATCATCTATACAACTATAATTATGGTAATTCGAACAGAAAAAATATCCTTTTCAAGTGACAAGCTCGCATTGCTTCTATGCGTCACTAAGAAAACAAATTTGTTGTAATCTAGTCGAGTGAGTTATCTACAATCTCATAAAAGGAAGAAAAATAAATAAACGAATAAGAATTAATTCTAAAAAATGATAAAAAAAAAGAATAAAAACGACTTGTTAGTTTGATGTAAGAGCTTTTCTTGATAGCGTTTCCCAAGTTTTAATAATAATTATATATATTCAGAAGACGTTTTGATAAAGTTCTTAGTCTATTTTCTAAACAGCCTATTGAAGTTATTATAAGGATAAACGAAGGTTGAAGTGTTCTATTAATGATTTACGAAGCGATAAGTGATGGCCCGTACACAGGATAAATGTTTTGTGGTTATATATAACCTTTTCATTTGCTCGAAGCTGGTTTTTTAATTTTATCAAAATTGTATAATTGGAATAACCATCCTCCCAATGTCAGGCCATTACGAACTTCGTCTTATACTTCGATTACAATAGCCCCATTTAAGTTTGTAATAGCTTCACATTCCGAAGATGCCCCTAGCTAGACTTGGTAAACATTTGATATCTCCACTCGTATAAATTTGACTTTTATGCTCAAGGTTACTGCAATTAAATCAAACGCAGTCTGCAATGGAAAAACAGACATTATAAAACTTTCTCTCTCCTCTTCTCTCTTCTAGAGCACGAGATGTACAAAAATATCGTCAGATCATGGATGCCAAGTCACTCTCAAAAACGAAACGCTACATCGCAAATGTTATTATGATTTAGAACTTAGAAATCTTAAAAAAATAAAAATTGGCCCATCATTATATTCCCTTACCTCTCTGTTATGCCATTATAAGATTAGAAAAAGAGTTGCCTATACTTTAAGAATATACGTCAATTCGATTAATCAAACAGCCTTATATCAATATGACGGTTTTATTTGTTTGTAATAGGTGCAGTAGGATATGAACTACTTTCGTTTTGTTTTATTTTTATTGAGTTTCGTGATAACATAAGATAAACAAGGAAAAGATTGACCTAGGTCACATACATTATTAAGTACGGTAGTAGACGAATTTCAGTTTAAAAAGACTTGCTAAATACATTGTATTTTGTCGAAAAGACCAAAACATATTGATGATAAGGAAGGTCGCCTATTTTACTGCACTGCACTTCTAAAATAATTATGCAAAATATTGGCAATTCAGCTATATTCTAAACTATAAATTAGCCACGACGATCCGAAGTGCAAAACGAAACCCGAAATCCAAAACAACATTGAAGCGAAACATTGGTAGCAGCTACTGAACTTTTCACATGAGGAAGCATATCAAATCATAAGTGCAATTGCATTATTAAAATGACATGTAGAAGTCTCCATATATAATTACATGTATTATACTGTTAAATCCTGTTATATCATTATGTTACTCGACAGATTTGTTTACAAATAACGTTATATTTATCCTTATATCCAATTACCTAGAACCATCTCGTCCGTTTTGTGGGTATATTTGTCATTCATTTTAATTGTCGTTACACCGTTTTAAATAGGAGATCCTAATTCTAATAAGTTGGCGGTTTGAAGAATGATGTCAAAGGGCGATATTATTTTATGAGGGAATCAAAGTTGACAAACTCTCTCGACAGTTTCCTCCAAAAGAATTTCTTCCCTCACTGAACCCTCAAAGTCAGCGAGGTAACTCAGAGCAATCTGAGCGTTGACTTCGATTTAGCTACTTCTATGACAGTATCGATAATCCGACATTGTTTTACGGTCCCAATGTATGTCGGATTACTCAGAATATACTGTATTTTGAAGTCGTTAAAGAAAGAAGTCCGATCATCAGTTGCACCATGTAAACATTATGTCTTGTGAAATGGAAACGAGTCCATATGAGAACGAAAATAATAAGCCAATGCTCTTGTCTTAGTTCTGCTCTTGGTGTTGTCGTTTTCATATCCCCGACGGGCTGACTAAATTTGACGTGAAGTATTCTATAAATACAGTTATAACATACAATATAAGTAAAATAACCCTACCTTTACAATGAACTAGTGACAACTGAATACTGTTAAAAGAAAATAAGGATATATTGAGTGTTGGTCGTCACGGTTGACATAACCACTAACATATGTAGAGGGTGGGGTAGTGGACTGTGCATCCCCTACCCCCGCAAGAGTGTGAAAGGACTTTGTTAAAGTGAAATGTAAACCCCAAATTAACCTCAGGCCACTTTGCTTTGACCGTTGGACTTCTGACCTCAGAGAGACACATTCCGTTTTTGCACCCCCTTCTCTAAGAGAAAGCTACTGCTACCATTAAATACCATTAAATGAAATTGTAAAATTGAGTCAAAGTTTTTGAAATTAAGAATTATAAAGTTATAAATGTTTCACAATTTTAAAGTTTTTTAGGCTACAATTATATTACTGTTGAGTTTTATTGTAAAAAGTTTCACATAAAAATTCAAATTCAAATATTATTATCATAAATTGTGAACAATTTTTTCCTTGGCGGCTGATATCACTTAATTTATCCTGTTCAGAACCCGACTTCCCGCATCCCTAGGTAGGTAGGTAGATGACAAGTTAACGTTCGCTTCCAGCGGATGCTGATATCGCAAACTATAAAACTATGCATCCCTATAAAATCAGAACAATTTATACTGTCGTCAGTTCCAAGCTGTTATTTACAGTGTTCTAATGTCTTTAAATAAAGCGCAAAGTAAAGTTTGGATATCATTGCTAAAACAATAATGCAAAACAAACCTTTAATAATATATATATATATACATGTAGTTCATATTCAAAAATAGATTTATTAAAAAAAAACTTGTGTATTGATATGTTTTTTTCCAGGGCACAAGCTCATGTGAACAGGGGCGAGAGCTTCAAATGAAAGATACAACCACGGCCCAATCCAAGTACTATGTTCCCTAAAATCCCTTTTCACACTTGACTGTATATATATCTACCAATGTAATAAATAGTGAACACAGTAAAACATGAACTTGTCATTTTTTCGAACAGATATTTGGTTAATACAGGAAAACATTAGTGTTGGCTAACGTATATTATCTAGCTATTCTGCCACCACTTCATCTTAATATTGTCAAGTTTTAACAAACTAGTTTGAAGTGAACAGCTACCACTATAGTTTCTGAAGTTAATGGTACATTTATATCAAAGAGCATATTCGCCATTTTCGGGTGTTGCTTCGTATCTTGAATATACGTAAATAGTAGTCTTCAGATGTACTAGGAATGTTCGAAAATCGCATAATTCCTTCAAAAATACCTCAGGAACTTGGAATTTCATCTTCTTTTTCTATATATGTCTTTTCTATATAAGGCATATAGTCTTACAAAAAGAACGAGTCGTCCACACACGTGGATTTAGAAGCTCAAATGGCGAAGGTGAGTTGTGAACTATTAATAATAAGCTTAGCCAATAAATTCCAGTTTCTGAGACCAAGGTACGATTGGTCAAACAAATGGCGAACCTATCACTTTAAATTGAAGACGAATATTGAAAAATCGAACTTCAAAATATTCTACATACATTGCAAAAACACAAAACTATTCCCTGCAGAAGTTTTAAAATATAACATACAAAATGTGATCTACTAAAATATTAAAGATTATAAACACGTAAAAACCAGGTTGGAGATATTATAGTATAAATATTATGACTGTATTTCTTATCTTATCATACCAAATATTCACAAAGTGAAACCAAGTATATACCCGAGTCACTTAACAGACAATGGAGCGGATATTGGACTATAGTAGCATTACCAGTTCAGTGACAGCGCCAGATTCACGAGACTGGGGGTACAAATAGGGGGAAGACTGACTCAATGGAGGGACAACTGTCGAGGCTGAATTCAAAATGCGGCAACTCTGTAGTTGGAAGTCTCTTATGGAGCGTCTAAGAGCGTTCTTTAAAGAAATTTTCCAAAAATTTAACTGATTAGGTGCAATCTTTTTTTTTTTTTTTTTTAATATTATTAATTGTGCTCAAAATAAAGTGGGTACGATTGGGGCTGGAAACCAGTTTTTCCAGGAAAGCACATGCCCCCTTGCTACCCCCAATGGCGCCGCCACTGTACCAGTTATGAATGGTGACTGACTTTGATTGATAAAAGAGACCAAAAAATTGAGTTCTTCCACTATCCAATCCCTTGCATGCCGACTCTGTCGTCCACTACTTCTAACCATAGCCATGCTCTGCATCAAGTTACTTGCCGACATCAAGCACCAACAACTGTCAGGAACCAGACAACAGTCAACGAATATAGTATTAACGACTACCTAATGTGGATTAAGTTTGAAAGCAGAACACATTAGGGTCTCTAAACCATGTTTAACTCCAGAACGGTAGAGAAAGACATGAGATAAAACCTTAAGAGTTTACCAAAGAGCACCGAGGCAATGGAGGTTAAACCTATTTAACTACAGTACATTATATCAACTTATTACTATAATTGGCTATACAGGCCAACAAATGCGAATATTTACAAAAACCCATTCCGAGATTCGTGACACTTTTTCAATAAAAAAATTTAAATCGTAATTTTGATTACCTCCCTTGTAAAAAAAAAAATTGCAATAGTAAAGGGAAGTAACTCAGTGGAAAATTCAAATTAAGAAACCGGTACGTCAACACGGTCATTCATGTCTTGATGTTGAAGTCGAGTCAATGATTTAATTTTGTATCAGTGATTAACTCAACAGATTTGTCTGTATTCTGCCAATCTAAGGTTGAATGTATGGTTGACTCACCAACAGAAATGGTTTAACAATATATACATAGTAATAACACCCAGTAGGACGTAGTTTTTGAGACAAGTCGTCCGTACTGGATTCAATCTAAATAAAACAGTGTATATAAAAAGTGCCTGAGTAAAAACGTTTCATCTCCATTTACATCTTAGTTTCATCCAGTATTAAGTTTCCATTGTCATAAGCATGATCTACTTTTCCATTGGTTACAGCTAAATCCTTATCCGCTTCGTCCTCATCCATGGCGTCCTTATCCATGGCGTCCATCTTGGCTAGATCTCCTCTTGATAGATGGGCCACAATACCGGCACCAAATGCATCTCCCAGAACGTTCACAGCCGTTCTGAAACGATCCCTAAAAAGAAAAAAAAACTTTTAACAATCTCAATAGAGGACAAAGAAAATTTACCGCTTTATCAGCTCTGTCAAAACATTCTGAATAAAAAAAAACAGTACCATCGATCCGAACTGTAAAAGGAAAGCCGAAATCTAAGACAAAATATTGGTAATACATTGGTAGCAGCATATGAATTAACAGTAATATAATTGCTTACATGTAGATAAACATAGGATGTATATATATATATATAGATAATCCTTATATAGCAGTCTATACCTGGACTAAGAATGAGTAAGGAAGCGTCGGACAAGGATGATTCATGAAATTTTGGACGACATTAAGAAGTACTTACAGCAGCCAATCTATAGCCAAGATGAGTGTAACATCTTCTGTAGGGAAACCAACAGCTGTCAAAACTATGACCATTGTAACCAAACCAGCTTGTGGAACTCCAGCTGCCCCGATAGCTGCTGCTGTGGCCGTGATACTGAAACAACAAAATTTACAGTTCAACGAAACAGAGGCCATATATATTAAGTCTGTATAAATCTATCCTACCTTTCAGATATTGGATGACGGCAAGATTGTAGACATGAACCCCGTGAACTTTTATTGTTATCCTCGAAAAAATGTTTGATTCTTTCTTTCTTTTATGTATACGGATCTATTCTCGTTCTCCAGATTTGCTGGGAAACCAAGTACAGATTAGCTGGGAAACCAAGTACAGATTAGCTGGGAAACCAAGTAGCTCGCTGTGCAAGAAGAGTACTGAGGACACGATAATGCTGAGCTTCCCAATCAACGATTGATCTAATTAAATACACGAGGTAGCTAATTAGAATGTCTAAGACAAAATGACGATATCGTAATGCTGCACTTAGACCATCTGACTTTATTTCAGTCCACGATTTCATTGAATGATGAACCTCCAGATTAGAAAAAACTAGTTGGTGTTACCTGACGGTGATGACATTTCCAATGCCCAAATCCAAGTTCCTGACTTGTCCTATAAATATCACAGCTACGGCTTCATACAGAGCAGTTCCATCCATATTGATAGTAGCACCAACAGGAGCCACAAATTTACAAACTCTCGGATCCACGCCATTATTTTCTTCTAAACATTTTAATGTTACTGGCAGAGAAGCAGAACTGTAAGTATAATGCGATTTATATTAGAAAAAGAAAAGAACTGATTTGCCATTTGCCAGCTGGGTCGACTGAAAAGATGATTACTTAAGGCCAGCAGGCTTCCGACCGCGATTAGAACTCAAAACCAGCATTGGCTCGACGTAACCAGACAATGGATTTCATCCCAACGCTCTACTAACCGACTGTGCCACAACACGTCTTCAAAAGAAACAGGTTTAAAAGGTTTGCTAACCTTGACGATGTTCCAATGGCAGTGACGATAGCTTGTAAAACACCATATATAAATCTGAATGGATTCTTTCTGACAAACAGGAAGTAAACCAGAGGTAGGGAAACGAAGCCATGTATGAACAGGCCAGCCATGACTGTCAGGAAATAGTAGGCCAGTTGCTGGAAGGTTTTCTCGGGATCATCCATCTCTACAACCTTAGCTGCTACTAAAAACATCACACCAACTGGCGAGTACCTAAAAATATTTCAAACATATTCAACTCATGGCTATTGCTCTTTACCAGATCTAATATATTATATAAGGCCGCCTCAACAGGTTGCCATTGAATATAGTCGAATTCGGGGGATCGATCGTACAAATTTGACTGTACGACCAAAGCCACAAGAGCATTGATCCATAGGTTGAGATTAGCGGCACTGTTTCGCTGGCGTGTTTCACAAAACTGGAATAATTTGACCTAAGTTCTTCATCAAGCTTATAGGGGAAAATCTTCGGCCCTTGAGATCATTAGATGTTCAATATTGTACTTATGGACTCTTGTTTTGTCTTCAATTATAATATATGACTCTCGTATCATGGTGCACTAACCCTAGTAATAATTTACTCCCTACATATCTCTTACACACAAACTAACCCTAAGATTTTGACACATATTTCACTACTTAATTTCTAATAAAGTTCGCGATATCATTGACAATCAAACTTTTACTGCTGTACTTCTGACCAAAACCTTTTGTTAAATTAGAGTTTTAGTCAGCCATAAAATGAAATTTGACATTAAGTTTGGTCAATTCAGGTTATGGCTGTTCAAACTATTAAAACTCAACACTACAGAGTAATCTTACACATAAAACCCCCCATATATCAGATAGATAGTTAAATGAATAACCTTCTCTCCAAAAAGTAATTCAGATAACGATATAAGGATTCCCATGTTTTGATACCCTTAGACAGTTCATATCTACAAAGGTTGGGAGAATGGTTCTTTCGGTGTTTCTCTCCTGTTGAATCATCTCAGTCTTATTGCAGACTTAGTTGCGTTATATTTGATGATATTTCAGACGATTGTCAACGTCATGCAATGGGCAACCTGGACGCACTGGCGCACACTAACCATGCCCTTAACAAATTATATCTACAACTTTTATCAACGATATTGTACCCGAATACTCACCAAATTACTACCAATATCAGTTTTAACGTAGCTTCATTCAGAGAATCAAATAAATCTTTCAGAGGTTTTCCCTTTTCTCCCAGTTTGATAATACAGATACCAAGAGCTATAGAGAATACTACTAGACCAAGTACATTCATTCCTTCCACTGTGGTTACTTTGGGGAAATAAATATTCTCCAATTTGTCATCTGAAATGCATAAATAGTCAAAGTTAACAACTGTCAAAAAGGGAGGTTTTTAATTGAGCTAGTACAAACATTGTCGACTCTTACGTAGAATCTGGTATCTGACGGCAATGGTTCGAAGATTCGTCCAATAGGCGATAGGTTCGTTGGAAACAAATATATGTTGATGAGGGGTTAATAAGGCTAATAAATGCTGGTTCCTCTGCTATTTATATTGATATTGAAGTGGACTTAATCTGCTTAGAAACTGCAAGATTCCGCAGTCTTTCATGGAACCAAGACAGAAAAGTTGAGAAAATGCATTAAATAGCTGATGTAAGGTCTAGTTTCAAAGATGTCCTAAACTAGAACAGTAAAATTTAAACATATGAAGAAAAAGAGAACATCTGTGGCTTCTGCGAGCTGTTCCAGACAATTACGTCTTAGCTCCAGTTAATAGTCTTACCATCATTCATATTAGTGCCATTGAGAGTCGCGTTGATCATGTCCATTATAGCTGTGGTGGGTGGAGACGCTGTGGTCCAGTTATTAGCTGCTAGTGTTTTATTAATTTCTTCAAGCCGTTTTTTCATAGCAACTGTATCTAAGAATTGTTTGGTTAAAGGCTGAAATAATAATGATGATGATAATCGATGAATTGGTTTGACACTACTGGTATAATATATGAACACTTCAAGTGTGCGATAGGACACTGTCATATCAACTTGCAGTAGATAATGAACTGTTTTCTTTGATAAGAAAACTGGTGTGCGACATCAAAGAAGCTTGAAGTTGACTCAAATGTGGTACCAAGCACTTCATTATCGCCTAGCGTACCTTCAAAACGAATTATTTCTCGCTTACCTTTCTGAAACATGCCTCAATCAGATTAGGTGGGAACGCTTGTCTGCAAGAAGAAAAAAAAACATTCATGCTAATATTATGAACAATCCCAGTTCTGTTCCATACTGATCAGCAAAAACTAATTGGAAATAATATGCTGACTTGTCCATTATAGTCATTATATGTCGTTCCAAAAGCCCATAGCAGGTTTCAATTTAATTCTCATGGAGACATTGCAAACACCAATTACCATTTTTAATTGTACTTTTTTTTTTGAATATTGGATGGCTTTGGAGTTAGATTTTCAGTATTAAAGTTTACAGGCAGTAGAAAATTTAGCTATCTCAAATGTTAAAGGAATTATTTAGACGACTATAGGAATTCATGAACAACAGTAATGTTGTAGTCAACTAGTGTTTGGAATGTTGTGAAAACATGCAAATACCACATAATGTTCAACACGACCATTCTAAATACTGCACAAATACAAACTTAATTCAACTGTCAACAAATTGGTTGATGTTTTGATTTTTAATAAAAACTCAATGACACTTCTGATTGCGAATCCTTTTAAAACTTGGCATACATTAAATTTGCCCTAAATTAAAGTATTTCAGACGAATGGCCAGTAAAAGGTAGTCTACATAATGATAACCGATATAAATTATTTATCTACTACCTGTTTATAAGACTTTCTGTTCAAATTATTCACAACTCAATTTCTCTATCTTATTTCTTGCGAAATTCCCATTCTTCTAGATACTTTTATAGTATTATATATATAGTATAATACGCAATTATCAGACTTGCCATCAAAAATTCAAATCTAGGAACATACAAGTTACATGTATGTTAAAAAACGATAACGAAAGAAAAAAACGCAGCTTTCTCGGACAATTATTAAGATCGCATAAAATATGGATAAGTTAAATGTCCGATTGAGCACTCTCTGTCAGAGATACCAAAACCAGTACCAACAAAGTAACAAGCTAAAGGGAGGCCACTGGAAATAAAGTTGAAAATGGATCAATGTCAAGGGAGACAACTCAATAGAAGTAAATTTCATTTAATGTAGGTCAACCCTTAGACTGTATCAATCAACTTCGCAAAGTTTGCATACACTGCCTTTATTTTATTAATACAATTTTGACCACGTTTTGGTGGGTTTAACTGACGTTACGGCGCGTTTAATTGACGTTTTGGTCGTTTGACTATTTAACTATCTCTGCATATTATATACTGTCTTGAAGATGAATGGCCTGTACATAGAATTGAATTGATGAAAACTGATCTTTATTACACATTGATATTGTTGACTTAAAGAATTGAATAACTGTATTCAAGGATTATCTATATATTATTACCATCAAAATACTTTCATTCAACTTATATAGCCTACACTCAGGGATAGTTAAGCTAAGCTTTAGAAAAATTTGAATTAAGAAATGGATGGGTGGATATAATTAGATAATCAACCAAACTGGGAAATATAAATTGCATGAGGAAAGTATTGTCCACTTCTGACTCCACATAGTATAGCTAGGCCCGTAGCTATAGGGGGGCAAAGGAGAAAAATGGTTCTACGGAACGTCAACACCGGTAGATACCAGATTGACTCGAAGATACAAAACCAAACCATCCATCTGTAGCCATCTGCAAACTGATAACCAGACTTCAACGTACTACGAGACTATCAGTTCAACGCCATGAAATGTCGATGCGACCACGTCGCCACAAGGTTGCATGTCCTCATTCAATGCACTGAATTGAAACCTGCTCGTAAGCCACTGACAGAGTACCTGGAAGAAACTGCAGAAACACCAGAGAACATCTTCTCCCCTTTTTGTTGAAAGCTTTTCCCCCTTTTTGATGAAAGCTTTTCCCCCTTTTATTTTTATTTTTCTTTTTCCCCCTCTTTTTTCTTACATTCTTTTTTTTTTTCAGGCCTTCTAGTTTTCCAGTAGTTATCAAATAATCTAACCAAACCAAACCAAACCAACGACCACTATTCGACTACCAATCAACAAGAATTACCATGATCAGAACGAGTTTGGAAGAATTCGACCCGACCAGATCTAACGGAGAATCAACAACCAAACCAACGACACAGAATCATCCAATTTGAACCAATCCAACTACTAACTACTACGACTACCAACACTACCTAGTTTGCGATATCAGCATAAACTGGAAGCGAACGTTTACTTGTCATCTACCAACCAACCTTATTGCGGGAAAATGTTACAATATTTTAGTAACACATTTTCATTCTGATAATTGAGTCTCAAAGTTCACGGGTGAGTTTATTTTTGTCGTGTCAATTTTCAAACAGCTATTATATAGTTTTCAAAAGGTGAATGAAAAGAATATCTTCTATAATCTTTACAACAAAATATACATTTTTGAAATGACATGCGAATCAATGACATGGCAAAGCTAGTGCGACTACCGGAAAAAAACCCCACCTGAAAACTTGCTTGAACAATCAGGTATGGCTACGGAACTGAGTAGACCTATAGCTAAGTATTGATATTTATTAAGTTATTAAATAAAATATTAAAGTCGAACAAATAAATCCGGGTTCGATTCCAAATACAACCCCAACCTGTTCAGTTTATCAGAAATATGTATTGATGAGTGCTTGTGTTAATGTTCTGTATCTCGATTATAATAAGAGTATATATAAAGATGTATCAAGTATCGTCTTACGTCTGAGTCTGTTTATAAAAACGACGCCAGGGATAAAATCATTATATTTTATCATCGATGTGTGCACAAATGAAAAAGAGTATGTGCATTTATTATACACTTCCAAAAAAAAGAGAAGAATTTCATTAATTTCGAATCGAATTATGTTGGTGATTTCAACATTGCACGATCTGATAGTCGAATTAAAAGTATCTTCTTGTTTGAATAATAGAGACGTTCTGTTTTAAGAAAAAACATCTCTTGAGTCAATATGGGATACATTTTATTCAACAATTCCCTTTACCCCAGACATTATTCAAACAGAGGCTTCTGCTATGTCAATTTATCTCTTTTCAATTTTAAATCTAGATTATGTCAACAAAGCAGTCCTTATTCACATAATATTGACTTGAAATAAGTAAGTGAAGTAGAGAAATTTTTCTGTTTTTGTTTCAATGGCTGCTTAAATTACAATGGATTGTTCTACAGGCGTTCTGCTCAGCGGAGGTTCAAATATTTGAGGAGCTGGTTGAGGGCTGCTTTTTGTTTATCAATCTAACGAAATGGGTGTTCCCTTTCAATAATAATTTCTATTTAACATTCGAGAGATTGAACGGTAACAATTATACGTTCTTCACTTCTAGCCAGGACTTCGATTGGGCTCAGATATATTTATTACAATGACTCTTGCTTGGACTGCTGTAAGACCACACATGTATACCCTCTGCTTGAGGTGTATGATTCTGTCAAGTCAATGTTTTTGAGTATGACTAAAGGTTGCCAGAACGTTGAAGGTAACGTTGTTTTAATGAGAGCCTTGCGTTACTTTATGAAGTTTGGGTCAATGCCCGAAAACGCCAAAGCTTCTGTTTCTGGTACGTTTAGTGTCTGATTTGTGACGTCTGAACTCTTGAGATCATTCGACAGCTTCGTCAATTTCTCTAAAAGTTTTAGGAAAATTGAATCTACTTTTCTCCTATACGGATTGACTTTTCAACTCATCGTGTCCAAACCACACCCCATTCGTCATACTTCTTAGGGGTTAATAAGACCATGTCAAATCCCGTATTCGTGATACGGTGGTTTCAACCATGACTGTCTCAACAACAGATCCGGGGCCTTATTCTTAACAAAATAACTTAAGATATTTTAAGTGTCAATCACTAAAATCAAATTAATCAGATTACTGTATTTCTTAAAATCCAGATTTTATTTAATTCAAGTTTTGAAGAACGTCGAGGGCAACATCTGATGAAGTTCACATGTACTGAATCTTTCAATGATTTTGATTCGCCGAGCACCAAGTGCGATTGAAGCTTGTTTTTGTACATAATATACGATGATGACATAGTGCACTTTAATAAGATATATACTATTAAGAATGGTGTTGATATACACCTATTTGCCATGCATGTAGTGTTTTAATAGATAACTTATGATATCATTACAATGTTATCTATAAACTCTTCCCAGCGTCGATACAAATACTGTAGTGCAATACAGGTGAAATATACATACATTGAGGGTTAAAAGACATTATATTTAACAATTAACATGTACATATTGACTATTATTAAGAGGTTTTGATTTCTGTTACTGTATATTATCTTTACACGTGGTAGAAAACATGAATTACGTATATGTACATTTTGGTGAACACATCTTTTGATGTCGTACAAATATTTATCACCTCTAGTTAAATGGGTCGTCTGTGGTTATAGCTAGAAATACAATGAAATGTATCAAGGTGCACCAATTCCAAGGTAAAAGCTAGATAGTCGGTGCATTAAAAGATTGATTTTTGGTAAAGACGAGCTAGTCTGCGCATAATTATCTTCTAAATGTCACTGGTGATATCACAAATTGCTTCGAAACACTGATAAATTAGCTGTCAATCTGTGTTGGTCAGAGGAGTTACAGTGGTCCGAGAAACTGAAATACCAAGAAGAGGGTAGAAGGGATCAATTTTGTGTTACTGAAAGTGCCCATACGACGAATGACAAAGCAGTTACTAAATACAGAGACTAAAACCTTTTTGTATTGGACGAAGTGTTCAAACGGTTGTCTTATATACTCACTTTCATTGGAAAAGTGACCTGAAAGTGACTTTTAGGGTTTCCTGGATAGATGTACGAAACATCTTTGTCGATTATAGACTTGGCACGTCTCTAGAAAGCTCTCAAGTACGGTAATTTCTCGGACTAATTTTAAGAATTGTGGGCCAAGGTTATAAAAAGTAATATTTCTGTTTGTATTAGAATAAGATAATATGAATAATTCTGTACGAAACTGACAATATTAGCTTAGGGAGGGTAGAGAACTCGAGAGTTCGTCGACTTAAATTTATAATTACTTAAAGATGCAACCCCACAATTAAATGAATCTCCCCACATATGTAGTCCATTGCATTAAAAAGGACAGCCCCACATAGAATAGGGGAGCAATTAAATGAGCATGCCAGCGTAGAACTTTGGGTGCAACAGAATGTATGACCATATAGAATAGCTGGTGCAATCACATGAGTAGCCACAAATAGGCTTTGGTTGGAATCAAACGATTACACTCACATCAATAAGAGACACCAACCCAATTGCAAGTTAGACCACCGATTTTTATCTGAAGGGATGAAGTGTAGGCGCATTGAGGAATCCATATCCACTTCAAAAGGTTTCACTATGCGATGGGCTGTCTTTAACCTTCTTAAATCTCTTCACGTGACAATTACCATAAAGAATAATTATTTTATCAGAAGATACTTTCCTTGGACCACAACCACTCGACATATTATTAATAAATATAACCATATACGTGGCTCAAAAACAGAGACAACAACTTAACAAGCCTACTTTTAAAAGCGTGGGGCACATCCAACGCGTCGAGGAAATCGAAATTTTTCTCTTATCACGAACAAGTCGTAACCTAGCTTGCAGTTATAGTTTAAATTTATATAGACGCTTTTCCTATAGAGTGACTTGGAAAATAACCCAGATTGCATTTTTGATATAGCTTAGGATATATTTTAGTGAATGTTTTCGTGCACGTACCTTTCGCCTCTCGTAAAATATTATCTGATAATATAGCAATATCGATTTCAGCAATTTATTGAGATAATCATACTGACTTACCGTAAGAGATCAAGGAAAGTGTCCACTGGATCAATGAGTTCTTTAGGTGAGCCTGTGCTGTCTGGAGTTCCACCTTTCCTGCCTGGTTCTATAGCAACTACCAGCACTATACCCAGTATAACAGCCAATAGAGTGGTAGTCATGTAATATACCACTGCTCGTAGTCCCATTACACCAGAGGATCGGGCGTCTAGTGATGCCATTCCGGATACCAAACTCGATACAACTAATGGTAAGATGAGCATTTTCAGCATGCTCATCAGAAGCTCTCCGGGATATCCTAGGTATAAGATCTGCCGCCTGGTAAACTTTGGTTCTACATAGCGCAATCCTGCTCCGAGAGCAATTCCAAAGAAAAGTGAAAGAATGAGCAAAATAAGCAGCAAATTATTCTTGAAGATTCGTTTTACTTTCTCTTTCATAGTCAATGATTCTTTCGCCTCAATTTCTGCATTAATTCCATCATAAAATTCATCGTTGGCTCTTTCCATCTTGGTTTATTAGAGGTCTTTGAACCTGGATTAGTAAGAAAATGCTTTCACTGTCAATGTCATCAATGTAATGTAAGAAGAATACGGGCTGTAATAGGTGACCCTAGCTCACACCGAGTTATAACATTTAATACCAAAATGTCAACAAACCATATTCAACCAATCGCAAGTACACATTGACATACTGACGGTTTCTTCTGTAAATATGATGACAAATTTTTTTTTTAATTATTTCATTCTCATAGTTGAAGAAAATTGATAAATTCCGAACGTTACGGATTGGTCACGCGTTAGGAATTAGCTATATTTCTCTAATCCTGATCTGTTTCTTAGAAGACAATTTGACTTAACCACAAAAGATGACAGATGACTACAATATGTTATAGATGGTTATGTCAAAATGAATTCTTCTTTATTCGTAAAAGCGTATGTCGCTGTACATAATCAGCGTGGCCGGCTGTTTACTAGTACAAACACGTACATGACGATTATTAATTAACATACCATCATTGGTTAAGGCTTGATCCTATGGCCAAATCTGTGTCACATGTTTATAACTTGTTTTCCGTCTGTCAAAGGTAAAGGTAAAGACATATTTGATACACTGGATGATCAAGTCGATTAGTGATATACCAGCCTTAAAGATATGTTGTTAGTAGATATTTTTTCAGAATCGTTGAAATTAGTTGATCATGATCAATCTGGTTAAAATGCCGATCAGTTATTTCGCATCGCATCATTCCCGCTTTTAACTCCATTGCAATTACCATCCATGAAATTTGAGAATCTGAAGATATTATCATTATCATTAAAATATTCACTACATGGAAGAAACTCTGGGGTATCATTTGGCAGACATTGCAAACTTGTAACAGTGATTTTGATTGGATACCAAAAATTAATTGAATGGAGTTTTGAGACAACTTAAGAAAAAATTCGGCAGATCATGGATATAGCAATCCAGAGGAAAAACGGGTAACGAAACATCTAGATCTGTATTTTAATTGGATATGATTATTTTAGTTGTACTTCCATTGATTAAAGAAATGTGTTTGTTTTTTGAAACAAAATGTGGTGTCAAGCCGCTTGTATTTCTATCATTGCGATCTAGACCATATTTGATAGACAATTTAGAATTTAATATTATAGATAACTAAACTACTTAGGTATACGAAACTACCATACATCCAAACATAGCTTCGTCTGCTACTTAGGGTCTGATCTTAGAACTTACCTGTCCCACACGCTAGTTATATGAGCCACAGACGGTGTGTGACAACCATTGTTAGGACAGATATATTTAAACCACGGATGAAGATTTTCCTAGAAATATGTAGCAATAGTACCAATTTCTTTTGAAGATTAGTCATATGATAAATCTACATGTATTTTGTAATATTTGTAGTACTATACTATTATAACCTCTTTCCAGGTAAAAAAAGAATGAACAATATTTTTACTAACTTATATCCGTCAACTGAAGATAAATAACTCTTATATCCGCCTCGAATTCATTCAAGTATTACGCTCTAAATCCAGACCACAAAAACTGACAAAAATCTTGTAAACGAAACAGTTTACAATGTCAAATATAATCCAACGATTATAGGTGACGTTCAATGTTAACCAAGTGGTCGCAATTCTATATTCTTTACCAACAATTGCCTAGCTGATTCTCCACTCGTTTCTCCCTTTCCAGAAGAAAGTATAATCACTCATTATAGATGTATTTAGCTAATCATGTGAAGGCTACAGACTGATTTTAAATTGTGGCCAATTAAAACATTTTGGTTGATAGAATATATTGACTGATTTAGACATGTCGACTGATTGAAACATGTTGACTGACGAGAATATATTGACTGATTGAGACATGCCGACTGATTGAAACTTGTTGACTGACTAGAATATATTGACTGATTGAGACATGTCGAATGATTGAAACATGTTGACTGACTAAAATATATTGACTGATTGAGACATATCGACTGATTGAGACATGTCGACTGATTGCAACATGTTGACTGACTAGAATACAGTGACTGTTTGAGACATGTCGACTGATTGAAACGTGTCGACTGATTGTAACACTACGTGGACAGTTTGGGATATACTGACTTACTTTACTTTGAAAATGTACACATGACTGATTGAATCCTGTTGACCGACTAGACAGGGGCGGTTTGAGGAAACATTAGTTGAAGGGTTGAACAGGTCAGGGCAGCCACATAATATTTTATCACTATGTAAAATGATAATAAAAACAATTGAAAGTGATTTCCCCGTAGAGGCGCCATTGCGACTGGGATATATTGACTGGTGGTGTATCAATAATTTTACAGACCATTTAGGGGAATAAAAATAATTATGTAATACGGTATTTTAATCTTTTGGAAATGAAGGACTCCAAGTACATGTATTAAACTTTTACTTAAAATATATTTAATCCGGCTTCAATTTACTTTCTTTATGACTCAATACCATTCAAAACTCTATCAATAAATGTTTGTCTTTGTGTATTAGGCATACCCATTTTAAGGTACATGTATTATAGGTCACTCGCTTTTTAAGTAACTATTTCACAACATTGACACCTTTTCTTTATTGTTGGCTCTATTGAAAAGGAACAACGATTATGAATTGACTTTATAAAGATTTGGCCGGGCCATATTTGAACAAATTTAATAACAGTTTATTTGCATATAGTCTATATTTGTAAACCGTTAGCCGGAACCTACATGTGTTAGATCTATTAATGTATGGAAGAGTGAAGCGGATCTGTTTCGATAACAAAAGAACTGTCTCATTTAAGATTTAACAATTCAGTCTTATACAAAAAAAATTGGCTACCTCTGGATACGAGCCCAATTTGGCAAACGGTTCAAAATTACGGCGTTCATTTTCAGAGAAAACAAATTTTCGAGATTGTACAATGGGAACTAGGACAATAACTCTGTTTCTAATAGCGGTAAATTATAAAGTAAGAAAAATACATCATTGATGCGTATAAAAACACTATTATAAGGAATAATAAAAATCAGACCACAAAGAGATTATGTTGTCTCCCTTTGATCATGACTAAAATTGATGTCGAAATGACTAATTAAATAAATTTATCATTCACTGATACACAATAGAATACGGCATTCCCATTTAAATCTTTAGTGTATTAATCAAACTAATAATGGTAGGAAGCGGAAATAAAAGGGAGGGACAGACCTAAGGTCATTATAGCTAGTCTTAAATTATTATAAATATATCTTATATAACCTACATGTTTTTAATTCCAACAAATGTTTGGCTTTATTTATTAGCGACAGTGGATTAGGGACAAGTCCACGGGACCACAATCGTAAGCTTACCCCAACCCCCAGAAAGAAAATACAATATAAATGAGTGAAATAGCATTAACTACAAAATTAACTGAAAATCTTCCATGAACAGGCATTTATTTGAGTTACAGAGAGGTCTTAGAATACAAGGGAGCATATAATTACCGGAGAATGGGTCCCGACCTACTAAGGTATAGGCCTATCATGCAGACCCCACTCATCAAGATGAGCCACTGATGAGTCGTGGATCACTTTCATTTTATAGGAGGGAAATATTGATTCGGAAGAGTGTTACTTTTAATGGTTTAAATCAAAGGGAATTTCAAAGAAAAGGGAAGTTATAAATTGTCATTATAATTTAATTCCTCGAAAATTTCCTATAAAAAGGGGAAATGATATACATTATTATAGTCACGGTTTAAACTAGTTTTATATCCGTTCTCCTTATTGATTGGTTAAATTTGGTTTAATTTTGGTAGATCGTGAGAGAATTGTAAATAGGGTATGAAATATGTCAGATCATATAATAGTCAATCCTCCACTTAAAAATACAATGGAATTATTTGAACGGTCGAAGAATATTAAAATCGTCCGGTTATTTGAACGAATTCAATACGATCGATATAAAAACATTATGTGGGGAATTGCGTGATAAAGTGAAAAACAACTTATTTTTAGCAATGAATCATCAGTCTCGATTATACAAGACATTTTAGTCCTTTTACATTTCCATTCTATATTATAGTCTTTGTTATCCAGACACTCACACCCACGCAAATAAATAACCTAGATCTGCATATTTTTATTCGCGAATTTTTAAGATTCTGTAAATTTTATAAAAAGTTTTATGAAAATATTACCCAACTAATGAATTAAAACTTTTTGAAAATTGAAACTTTCCATTCTGAATAATTTTGCCAAATCAATGTTTGACATTTTGGGTTGGACAAACCTTGCAATACGTGTACATATATTCATGCTGAGTCACAATGCACAAAAATGACATTTGATAGGCTGACCGCATTTCATCATAAATTTGGTCAACGACGCCGTTTAAATTCTGGGTGAGGTAAATTTGCTAAACTTGAAGGGGCATGTTCGCCATCAGTTTCACCAATCGTACCTTATTCTCAGAAAAGGGCATTTTCTAAGCTCAGTATTATAGTGTTCACAGTTGAAATAGGAGCCGTCAAGAACTATCTGTTCAAATGACGACTCGTCTTTTCTTCATACTCCACCACATACAGAAAAGAAGATCTTTCACACATGGTTCTTACACCTGTTCAACTTTGGAACAACAAAACCAAGTTTGTTTCAGTATATTTTTATTTACATGATTTATATATTGCACTAAGACCCATAGCACTATGGATTACTTTTTACAATAATCTGGTGTCTCACACAGATCCCAAAATTAAAATATAAAACGATAGAAGTTCCATCTTAAAACCAAGTAATAGTAGGGAAGCTTCACCTGTATCAGTATACCTAGGAACTATGTCTTATAGGCACAGACACAGGTGACCCCTACAACAGTCTAATTCAAATTAAACCCAAAATTCCGATGCATTCATAATAAGTTCTATTTTTAATATAAGTGAAATGTTATTAAAAATAAAAGCTAATATAAAAACAGAACGAAAGTTTGGTTTAATTTGAATAAGACTGTCCCTACAACATGTGGTATCATCAAAAGTTCAAATTATAATTGGCCTATTCTAACCAATCTGGTTGTTAACTTTAAACATTTAAATTTGTGACTTGATGTTGTTCTGATGTGACTATAGTCATCCAGGATAAGTGTATCTTTACTGTAGAATTCCAGAGAAGAATGGATTTGAAAATATGACCTCGACACTAATAGGCTACTTGTCTTGTGTAATTAGATTTGTTCATGGAGTAGAATTAGTAATAGTAACACTGGCCTTGTTCTATAATCTCCATTGGATTAAGGTTATTACAGTTGAATAGACACCAATAATTAGCTATATCATTACTTCCATGCTGGAGGTCTCCAAACTGGTTCGTTACTAACCAAAACATAAACAATAACACACATATCTGTACCAAAAATAACTTCCAGCGTAATAGTGAATTGGTGATAAAATCTGAAGCCAGTAACCTAAAATTACTAGTGTTGATGAATTTTGTTTACAGCCAAATTTGAATTTTGTTCAAACCAAACATTCCAGTGTCCAATCACATCATTCTAACACAGAACACAGTATCACTACATCATACATTAGATTCCATTATAATTTTACTCTAAGCATCTTATATAACAGCGAAAATACTAGATATAACATCTCTTTAGGCTACTGCTATAATGATTACATTACACCCATAAATTTCAAATAATAAACAATAAGTGCCTATGAAGCGCTACGTTCCATATGTAAGGTTATTTCTAAGAGCTTACATCAATTATAGGAAAGACATATGTACAAAATAATGACGAACTTACAAATGATATACAAATGCTTATATCAATAGACAACTGATACCAGAGTATAAGGGATACCATAGTATAAGGTATATATATTTATCCACTGGATAACAGAACACTATTAAGTGGCTATCATCCAGTATTTCAAATTGTAATCAATTGTCTATGGATACAAGCACCTTCAGATTGTACATTTAAAATATTATAACAGTTCAAAATATACAAATTATGCTTTTACTTAAACTAGCTTTATACTGAATCATTAGTTCATTTAACAGCGAAACATGCATGGTATCCAAGCTCGAAAGACCTCCATTATTTTACCTTTCACTCAGCACAAAACCAGTTTAAGCAGTCAGCTTACAAATTGAGATACTAAGTATCCTTCCCTTCAGTTCACTGAATTCTTGCCCTATTAGTTTAACATGTTAAAACACTTAATAATATTTCACTTCTCTCTGTGGCTATACAGTCTACATAACATATAGTTAACATTGGCACTGATTCATTATATCATAACATTCATTAACGTAAGAGATTTAAGCTAGATAATTTTTGAAAAAAAATATCTACTGGTGCGGAATAAGTTTATACTATTCCAATAATATATATCTTTACAAATCTTGGTACAATATTCTACTCCATCATATTACACTTATATATCATCTCATAAGCACACTTAAATTCTTAAGGGAATTGCTATAGAAACATAGTAACTCAAGTTTACCTTTACATTGGTTTGCTTATATGATAAGAAAATTAATAGCTTTAAACAATAACAGCAAAATCAATCATATACTAAGGACTCTAGTTATAAGTTATCAAGTTCCTAATGATAATCTTGACTGTATATATAATATACTAATATTATATCGCATTGTACGGCAATAGAACCCACAGTAACATAAGCTTACTGATAGTAATATATGAACCTAACTACTGTTAATATAGTCACAAGACAGTACAACAATTTACAATTTAATGTAGGGAGGATTCAACCCTGTAACAAAACCTTAAATACATGTTCTAACAGGGAAACAAGACGGCAAAATAATAATGAAGCATTTGTCACTGTTCGGTCTCATATCTTGCCAACATAAATGACCCAACTAAGATTCTAGTTAGGAATCTCGAGTTCAGATGTCACAACATTTACTAACACATAATACTCCACACTTAATATCATACTTGAAAATAAAAAATATATCCAGGTACTCAGTCAGTCACTCTGTCAGCAATCATAGGCTGTTATTTTAATATTTTCATAACCAGTGGGGCTATTCTAGATGTAAACTCAAATCCAAATTCTTGAGCCATCACAGATAAATTTAATCGAAATAATTGAAGAAGTTAATTAATCAATTTGACCATTTTTAACTGGAATCAAATTGTGACGTTTAGTATCATGATAGATTTATTACTCTTGATATTCATTGTTCGCAAACTAGCCATCAATCTTTGAATACATTCATACACACACTTACGCCACATTTCAGATCTGAAACCGGTATTTTGTAAATCTATAAATATAAAGTCGTACAATGGTTGAAATAATATCTACCGAGAAGCAACGACTGTAGCTAGAGCTCCCAAACCAACTGCTGTAAACAGGAGACCTTTCCATACTTTTTCTTCAAATTCACCATGATCAGGGAAAAATTCCACAAAAGCATCCTGAAATATTAAAAGCTTGTCATTTAATTTAAATTCTTGAATTAAATTAATAGTTGCCTACTCTTTCTGGAGCACTACAAACTAATCAGCATAACCCAAGACCTATTGTGGTTCCTTGTGTATATTGATGAACACCATAGCATTGTTGGTTAGAGGCAGAACGTTGGTTCTTTACATGAAGTAATTTGCTGACAATCTCGATCAGCATTTGCAAGTCTGGTGATCTTGAATAAGTCATCTTCACTCATAGTCATAAACTTCAGTCGACCCAGCTGTAAATGGTTACAGATAATCCGAGAAAGAGAAAGACCAATACCAAGAGGATTGGCCAAGGACCAGCTGGTAGAAAGATTTCTTTCTTTGAGACAAATGGCTTGGCTTATGTATTAATGTAATGAAATTGATTTCTTCCTTTGACAGAGAAAGGTATCCATCTCGCTTTCAATTCGCTATTTTTGTACAGTACTTTTTGTAGTAACACAAGATTAATATCTTACCCAGCCTCCATGGTCTAAAATCCATTTCCCTAATTTACTTCCCACATATTTCCCAGCGTATAAGGAAACCTTTTCTGGGCAATCATTTAAATCTTTCTGGCGACAATAGTTGGCTAAACGAGCTGCAAAAGCATAAACTGCGACAATTCTTCCCCAATTTATTTGACCATCATCAAAAATTTCATCTGCCACATTAACAAATGTCTCAAAAGTACGTCCTGATTCCTCAACTTTGAGCTTGTTTACCATACCCTTGAATGAAATGTCATGTCGCTCTGAGATTTCTTTCACAGTTCTGCGCATTGTTTTGCAATATTTGTTTGTAGCTTTCTTGGTTTCATCTGCACCGAATGTTAATACAACATCATTTGCAATAACTTCTGCATCTCTTCTAACTTGTTCCAAAGGCGAACTGCTCCCTGGCGTTTGTGTGCATTCATCAACATTTCCAATGTCGTTCAAGCCCGCCGCTCCGGGCAGTGATCTGTATTGTTTACTCAATTCAGCAAATAAACTCTTATTAACGATCATATTTGATACTTTAGAAGCATATAAATTACTGTCCATTCCGGTAGTCGACATCTCGACTGAATATTTTACACTACCAATAAAGAAAACAACTGTACAAAATAATGAAACTATACACAGATCCTTCTTAAAATGGCGACAAGAGATGTAAAGAGACAAAAACAAGTCTGGCCACGTGATTATACTTTGAATCAAATGATTGGTCGATAAAAATAGCTTTTTGATGACGTTGCCCTTAGTTTCGCTTACGTATTTAGCCGGAAGTGGAATTTCCTCAAGACGACGAAAGGGAACCCACAAATTAGAAAGATTTTATTGAAAGAAAAGAGAAAAGCAATTTGAGTGTCTAAGAATAGCAAGAAACAACAACTAAAGTATCAAAGATTGTAAGTACCATGTATGAATCATTTATCTGGCGGGAATTAGGTATTTATTTTAGGGCTAAAATCAAACAGATTTAAAATNGGGNAAGGGGGGGGGGGGGGGGGGGGGAATACGGTGGGTACACATCTGCCCTAACAGACTAATAAAACTCTGACCATGTCAGTAAGTCCAAAAAAGGAAATTGTTAAATACCTAATAAGCTCTAAAGGCAAGTTTCACATACCCGGTACTAATTTAAATGGAGTAATAATATACTATAGTTCAGGTTGCAGAGATAAGATTTGAATAGATAATGGATAAATGGTGCCTCTTTCAAGAATAGAAAAACAAATTTGATGTTCATACTTTCATGATGCCATTCTTTGCTTTTCACCAGTTTTATTAGATGAAGCTCGATTCAAAATATATTTCAATATTCTTAGAACTTATTTTTCTTTATAATTTAGATTAGCCTACATGGTAAGAATCTGTTATGGGCTTAAAAACAGAAAACACTGATGGTGAAGAAAAGATGACATCCAAAGAGATAAGCGTGCCCAAGGTTTCTGCTGAGACAAGAGAAAATAGAGATGATGGAAGCACTGATGTAGACTTGATTGGATCCACAGAGAATCTGAATACTAATCTTCCACCAGAATTAGTTCCACCACCACTACCAGTATTGGGACATCCAGTACATGTTAGAAACCCTCAAGACAGACCACATAGTGCCCATGTTCATCGAGTGTGTGGATTGCTGCTGAGAGCTATGGGAGATCAGTATGAATGTAATAGTTGTGGGCGTACATTACGTACTCTAGGAGATGAAATGAGTACCCTGTATAATATGAGAAGAGTGGCTAGTACAAGTAATGTATCAGATCTGATGCGTACACCCAGAAGATGAGACAACTTGTAAACTAATGACGCTGAGATAAATCAACTTAAAATATTAGAATTTTCCTCCACCCACAACACAAACCTTTGCCAAAGTTTCAATTTTGAATGATTGAATAGGAAAGGGTTTATTTTTGGATTGTGAAATTGTTTTTACCCAGAATATCATCCATTCATGATACACTAAGCTGATTGAAGTGAGTCCTTAAAATGTTCATTATTCTAAGATCAACATCAAATTCTGACAGACAGTTGAGATAGTGTAGAGATGACAGTCAAAGCTATCACATACAGAGAGAGGCTGATACAAATTGACATGTTTATATGTCAGATTGTATAATTTAATCTCCTAGATGTATATTTTGTTATATCTATTCTATATGTTTATACTTTTTGGGTTATTTAAAAAGATCTAAGATAAAAAAAATATTGTACATATTTATAATTTGTTGAGCCAAAAATTGTACTGTAAACACAACTGGTAAAGATTCAAGATAAGCTTATAAATATTATACAGGGTAGAACAAGTGGTCAGTCAGTACACCAACAAAACTAAGTCAAACCTATATTGTTTGTTTATTATCTATCTTTCCTTATTATCTATTGTTTATGGGAAAGGTTCAGAACCTACCAGATACAATCTTAGCTACGTTTCTGTGAAAAATGCACTTGAAACCACTTCAGCAATGTGACAACCAATATTTTATGTTTAACTTGGCATCCCTTTTGGAAAACTCACTTTATTTGGTATTTTATGGATAAAAAACAATCAGGATATATTATGATTACAGGAACTTTAGACCTTTGACCTTTGATCTGATTTGATCACCTTTATCTGTACAACAATGATGTACATGTTTAACATAATGTTATCTATTTATATTACATAGAGAATGTTTATCTTGCATGATGTTTCATCTATTGGTTGCTGCACATCATGGTACGAGTAGGTGAAATATTTGAACTTTGATTATGATGTAAAATGGCCACTTATGACTAGTCACAAGATGTAGTAATCTATATGATATATAACATTTATCTGTTCTGATAACTGTATCTATATGAATTCCTAGTAATCTGTATATCAAATAACTTAAAAAATGAAATAATTATCAATATTTTTATCATATTAGTTACTGTTTTGGCAAACATGAGGACATTGACACAGCTTTATGCAAAGAAAAATATGATTTATTCATATATATTATGCAAGTGATTTAATTTATCTTAATTATTATAATCGTATGTACTTAATCCTTATCTATAGGGCATCAAATATGAAAATGATTTGAATTTATTTTCACATTTTTTTTTACATTTTTTTATATTAAAACTATGACTATCTTGAAGGCAAAGACAACACATAAAAGATCAATGTACTGAGAAAGTTACAATACTAAAATATCTTGTTTTATTATGGTTTCCTTTTTAATTTCTTCAAAAAATTTAATTTAACACATTCATTATGATGTAAGTAATTAGAAATATTAAAACAAAACCCTAAAAAAACATGTTGTTGGTATAGGTCTATATATATGTATGTAAGTTACCATGAATTGTAAATTATAAAGTGTTGGATTTTGAATCAATTTTTGGGCATCAAGCTGAAAAATTCTGTTTATATTAGAAGAATTAAGTGGGATTATTGCCTTCAAAATCATATCATTTTAACCGTTAATAACATTGCATGCCCGTGACCATGACCTTGAAATTTAAACCTGTTTTGTATATTTGTTGAATATTTATTTTAAGTAACGAGTAAGCTTTTAGAATGATATGCAGTTCAATGAGCAAATAATCAACACAATATCTATTCTATTATCTTTTTTACACCTAATGACCATAGGCTTACTCTGTGCTATCTATTTATTTATTTTACTCTATGACTACTGTTAACATGTTCCCAGATATTTTTCGTGTAATCTACCGGTCCCTTAAAAGATGTGACTTGTACCAAGACAAAAAGGCAGCCAGGCCTAATTTTGCACATGATTTGAAATAAACTGCATTATAAAAGTTAAAAGCCTCAATATATTGAAAGCCTGTTTAGTGTATTGTAACACAGTAAAGTATAATTGCTTATGTAGACAACGAAAAGAAACCAATTGTACACAGTCAATAAAGCAGAAATGTATTAGAATAGAATTATTTAAGAAATGAGTATTTTGTGTGTCAAATTTTATTTTAAAGTGTTAATAGATCTAGGTATAAGATATAGTTATATATGTAATTAATATATTTCTATTTTAAAGTGTTAATAGATCTAGGTATAAGATATAGTTATATATGTAATTAATATATTTCTATTCCGGTGCTATATGTAAATAATTTATCATAAAATTTCATTGTAGATATTGTTAAGTTATGTACCTACCATATTGTAAATAAATTCATATTCATCCCCAATGTTTTTTCTACTTTCAAATACAAATATCCTACCAGTATGTCATATGTAGCATATAGGATTCAGTGGTTTTTCTATGAATTATAAGGTGTCAAGGGGACCAAAGAGTTTCAAAGGGGGCTAATAGGCACTTATTTCACTATGTAAAATGTTAAAACTGATTTAGATTGAGGAGAAAAGGGAACTGGTTATTTTAAGTAGAAAGACAGCATTCAAGATCTTCTGTATTCATGTTAACACAAATCCTAAACATGGATTAACCAAAACTTTCAATAGTTAAAAATTTAAACAAAAACTGAAACATAATGTTACTCAGAGTTTCATGCTGTGAAATATTCAGATAACTAACCTATTGTCCAAGTTCGAAAGTTTGTCAGATTGTCAGTTATACAGATATTCTATATTTGCTGGCCATCATTCATTTGCATACCAGATTGCATCTTTGTTAATTTAACAATATTTAATGAAATATTTAATTTTGAAAATTTACTAATTTATCAGATATTTCTATTGAAATTTACAAGCTTAGACAAGTGTGAAACTTATAAAGTAAAAAGCTGTTAGACTATGAAAAAAAATTAATTTGAACTTAAAGGTTATTTTCATTTCTAAAAATAGATCCATTCATACTTTCTCCAAATATTGGCAGCTTCTATAATGTTTATAAAGCTGAATCTATATTTGTAGAGGGTTTGAGAAGAAACATTCTTCTTATGTTTATGTAAATTGTGTTAAACTCAAACAGGCTGATGTCAGCTGGGCTTGATTCTATCTTTATGTGTTTATAATCTAATTTCACGTTTGTTTACTAGCTCAGTTACCTATATAGTCAGCTTTATTTTCAAAATCTAAATAATGGATATTTTTTTTTTCAAAATCTAGGGCATGTCATTGCTAATGGAAACTGCATTTATATGTAATTGTCACATGGTCATTCTTCTACCTTTAATTCAACTATTGAATGTAAATTCCACCACAATAAGTAGGTGACGATGCCAACTGGTTTAAACACTCAATCTCTTTTAGAGAGACCACAGATGTAATATTGAAAAAATTGTCATAGTTATAAAATCTTTGTTTGTCAATTATTAGGTCTAAGTAAGAGAGCTATTCAGTAGGCCTAACCATCAATGATGTCAAAATGACTGTAAGGACTTGAGATGTCCAAAAACACCTAAACTATAAAAAGAAAATACCCATTATAAAGTCATATTATATTGCATATTGATGAGAAAGTGTAATCCTACATCAAAGATTATATCATAAATATATTTATATATACATTCTAACATATATCTATTTCAGTAGGTCAAATATTTTTTGGCCAAGAAACTAAAGTAATTTGTCTTCTCTCATCTAAAACCATCATCCTTCTTATTATTAATTAGTCTTTCATAATTAATTAGTCTATTTCATTCATTACAACTTGATAGCTTAAAGATGGCTTTCCACTAAAATACATTTTTGACACAGAAAAATGATTATGTATTGAGGTAATTTCTGACAAAAATGCTGGTGTAATGTGCTCATCATTCACTCGAGGGGCTTTCATATCAATTTAGACAGGACATCAGCATTAGACTACTCTCATTCTGTTTTTAACTATGTAAGGATTTCAAAGTGTTCACTAAAGAGCTTGTATAGATATCTCTTGAACTCCTAGTGCAGACCTCCACTACTTTCTAATCCAAAATATAGAAGCCTTTTCCATATTAGCCCTTCAAAACTGAATCAGTAGAGGAACTGAGGAATCATCTCAATCAATGTTTGGATCAACCCTCTAAGTAAGTTAGCCCTTATCTCGCTATCTTTAATATATCCTAGTCAAGTATCTATCTATCTGTTTACACTATATAATACAGGTTTTGTTTGTGTGCCAAGAACAATGAACTATATTATAAAGATATGAATGGGGGTAATATAAACTCTAAGTTTCACTAGCAAGAACCTGTTTGTATTCTATAAATATAAATTATCATACTATATATAGATTACATTGAAACCAGCTTAAGCAAACTGAAATCATATTTGACATCTGATCTGATTGATTATGTTGAACAAATATAAAATCTGAAAGATCACATGATGAGATTATCTATTCAGTATCCCTATTTGAGAGTTTGAATTGTATACTTATGACAGAGCTTTACCACAATCCTTGCTAAAATGAAATTTCCCTATAATCTTGTCCCAAACAACCACATGTTTTAAAATATTATTTACTTCTAATTCTTCTTGAGAATTTAGAAAATTTGTCTGAGGGAAAATATCACATTTTATGATCTGATCCCGGTTTCATAAATCATTGTTATAAGTCATAGTAAAGGCCATTACTTTTTAAATTCAAATTTCATTTGTTGTGATAAAAAGTTTAAATTATTTCTTTAAACAAAAAGCTTTAGATTAAACAAGGTTTCAGATGATAGATAACTGTTTGAATAATGCCTATGAACTAAATCCTCTCCCATTTTCATGATAAGACATGAATCATGGCACATTTTCTAGGACAGATCTTGATAAGGACTATAAATAGAAAAGGGAGATAATATCTCTAACTGACAGAAGTGAAGGCGGTTATCAGAGGGTCATATCAACATTATTAATTAATATTATCAATAATCACACTGTCAAAATATGTATCATTTATATCCCAAGGGCATTAACTCTTAACACTGACAAATATTTCCTTGATTACCAAAATTTTTGTATACGTATGAACCTCTGAGGCTGACAAATTTAAATGCTCTAGGTGATATTAAATATTTAACACATCACAGAAATGTTTGTTCAGTCCAAAGTCAAATTAGTGAATTCTGACAAAGCAATAGAGCCTTGTCACCGATGGACATTGCTAGTAAAATCGGACAAAGATGACCAATTGAACAGTCTTTTATCCATCCAACTGAAATCACTTTTAATTTGGTGATCATTAAATTACAATTTTTTTTTACCTAATTTTTTAGTTTACCAGTAAACTGATAGTTGTTAAATGGACTAATATTGTCCAATGGATATATCAAAAACTAGGAATATATTTCTATATTTTATTCAGTTTTACTAAAGTTAGTTTGTAAAGGTAATATAATCTGAGAGGCGTCTGAAGCCATCTCACTTCGTAACGTATTGACAGCATGGGACAACTGTAGGGCAGCACTAGGGTGGGCTGTCCCTGGTAACATGGTGCATTCCCTTTCTATCATGGTAGCTATGGCATCTAATAGTTCCAGGAAACCAAATGATAGTGCTGCTCTTCTTATTCTATTCAATTCCTGAAATTAATAAATTAAAACCATATCTTATTTTAATAATAGTAAGATCATATTTAGTAGAATTTTCACAATTAACAGGTGGGCAGGGAGTAAACCAAAGAACCAATACTAACCAGTTGATTTGGTTCTAAAAAAGAAAGGCACACAAGCTCTCTTTTTGACAATATAGTCTAAATGGCATCAATGTACCAAACCAACAGGTTTTAGATAGTTGTTGTCCTTCACAACTGATCATTCAAGCTATATAATAATCATAAACTAGTGTATGTTAACATGTAAACAAAACAATAAACATACCTTATAAAATTGTTGCTGTTTGTCTGGTAATTTACGAGCGTGACGTAAAACTTTCTGTAAATCAGCCTGGAATGAAGACACCTGAAAGTTATTTAACTATAGGCCCTACTATGATATCTTCTCAATGAATTAAAACAAGTTTACACTCTGTCTTACTTTAGTACTCCATACAGTGGGAGATTTTGACAAGACAGAAGTATCAATATTGCAGTGCAGATGTAGAATGCAATAGTAAGATAAAAATATTTATAAAAGTCAAACTTGATATGGGTACCTTCCACAAATCAGTATCTTGCATTAAGACTTATAGCAATTGCCTCCCTTTCAATGAAATAAAATTATTTTTTATCCATTTCACTTCTTTTTAATTTAAAATAGATAGACAGAATCTACCAGTAAATAATATTTGCATACAACAAGCATTAAATCATAAAACAATGGAGAAAAAACGTCACCTGTAAGCCATTAGGTTTGATCCAAACAACACAACTTTGAGCATAACTACGTTTATCTGACGGTCTAATTGGAAAAGGTGTTTTGGTATCATCAGCACCATAGGGAGATTCATGGAAATCTGAGAGTGGTGCCAATTTGTTTAAATCACCCAGCCAGCTCACTGCATGCTTTCCTGCAATAAACAAAAACAGAGGTTTAGTGCTACTTCTCTAAAATGATGTTGTACATGCTACAAGTCGACACGACTATGACTATTGACTATTGACAATAACATAGAATTTTATTTACATCCTTCTCCTTCATACCAAGGACTAATAATGATATAAAGAAATACAACTGAAATCTCTTATAGATCTACACATTAATGGACTCATGTAATCTTGAGTTAAAAATCTTTTTGTACTAATGAAATGAAATGAAATATCTAGTATTCTAAAGAACCACAGTAAGGCAGTGACAGGTGTGTACTGAATAAAGCTTAGTCCTTATTTAGTAATTACTTAGATTAATTCAGGTGCTTAAATCAGTTTAATAAATGAAACTTGAAATTACCTGGTTCAAACAATGCAAGTAATAAGTTAGATTTCTTTTTACTATCAGCCCATGAAAATAATATACCATACCAATCTTCTCTAGAAAGGAAAATAAAGTCTTTTCAAATTAAAACACAGGAATAATGAAAAAAAAGAAATAGTTGCATCTCTGACAATGTTTCTGTTATTGGAAAAATATTACTCAGAAATTGATCAGGGTTTTCCATTTAAAGTGTAAACATTTAACGCCTTCAAAATTTCATTCTTCCAAAAGTATCAAATTGCGCTACATGGTTACAGAATAGAAATGTCTTACCCCACTTTAGTTACAGCCACCATACTCTCAACTTTTAAACTACCATGTAACATGACAGTGAAAGCTGGAACTTTACCATCATCTATTATAGAATCTTCTTCATCTTCTACTTTCACTTCTTTATTTATAGAATCTTTAGGATAAATAAACGACAGCATGACACAGTGCTGTTTTTTTTACTTTATTTTCCTGACAAGAGGGACACACCAGTTCCAATGTTCATGCTATGCAAATACTTTACGGAGGGTAATTAATATGGAAAAATTTTGTATGATTTACTTCTATATAGATGGACATGCAGTCTATAACCTCGTACTATTACATAGTGGTTGACAAACATTTTCATTGTAGACTCTACCATGGGAAGAGACAGGACATAGTCTCAATACATTAGATCAGTGGTTCCCAACATTTTTCAGCCTTCACACCCCTGGAGCAATCACCTGGGCCTTTCATATTCCAAAAATTTGTTTCATCCACATTTCCAGCATGTGATGATGTGAGGTGCTCTCTCAATTCAAAATAAATTCTCCTCCTACACCAGTTGGCCACACCCCTGACACCCTAGTCCCACAACCCCAGGGGGTGTTGAACCGGGGCATTAGATCATATCTTAGGTTTAAATTACACAAGGAACTTCTTCACTCTTAACAAGAATACCCAAACTCAATTCAACCATGACTTAGTCTCACAAATTATCAAATGAAATTTACTGATAGAGTTCTGAAATAAAAGCTAATGTGACCTACCATCTTTAACTTGTTGTTTAGATCTTGGTATAACTAAATGACGAGATATGGTGGGAGGGCTTGATACATCAGATATATCTAAAAACCCACAAATATGTAATTCATGTGATATCATTCTTTCTACCTTCCCTTCATCTGTTTCACTACAAGATACAGCAATTAATCAATTTTCTGATATCAGAGTATCTTTAAAGGCTATAAATATCTTAATCAATGAAATACTACCCTTTATTTAACAGTTTATCTCTAAATGCAAATATGAACTAATTTCTAGCTTTCTAAAAGCAATCAATATTATGCATTTGAAGCATTTCAAAATACAAAGGATGCATTAACAGGTATGTGACGTCACTGCTTCAAGCCGCTAAACTGGATAATAAAATTGCATCTCATTAATGAAGACTTTGGTATAATAATGATTATACGCTCCTAAAACGTCACTCAAATAAAGTTAGTAATTGTAATCCATAAGAAATTATATCCAACACTTTTACTAAATGCCATTCAAAGATCATAGAAGACTTTGGTATTTAAGCCTGAATCTAAATAAAGACAAAAAAGGACATCATCAACTTACACAGTATAAGGTATTGGTGCAGGATAAACATGAACAGCATTCTTAAGATTTCCACAATGTAACATACCATGAAATGGATTAAAGTATTTCTCTGCTAAATTTGAAAAAGTTTGTTGCACTGATTTTAAATTGAGTTGTCCTTCTGGATAAAATACTTCACCACCCTGGCCATTGATTTCTATCAGTTTCTCATATAGAGGTAGAGAGTTTTTAAGTTCACTGTCATTATTATTAGCTATACACACTACATGTAGTTTACACGGAAATTTGAATGGCACAGGAGATTTGGCATTGTTTGTTTGGTCATCATTTTCACTGTATGTTTGTAAAAAATGTTTTAATGAACCTTGACCAATTCCTGGACTACCATCTGTCACTAAGACAACCTGAAGTAAAACAGAAAAATAATTTTTTTTACCAGTCTTATCTTATAATAGGGCCTAGTTCTATACTTATATATCTAAATTCCTCTGTAAAAATTTTCCACTTTTGCAATGTGTTTCTTGGACAAACAGGACAAGCTCACACTTCCAGATCATTTTGTTTTGAAATTGTATTTATTATTCCATACCTGACAAGGAGAACTGTTTCCCCATTCCTCTAATATAATAGCACTAATACCAGTTAATACTGTCTCTATACATGTTTTATTATAAACCTCAACTTTATTTAACGCTGTTTTAATACTATCATAATCTCTTGTAAAACTAACTAACTGTTCATATAGATAGGAAAATACCACCTGAAACATTGAATAAATACAATATATCAATCTACCACTTTCTCGAAAGGGTTCGTGAATATAAGTGAGGATATTGGTAGCTGGTTTAGAAATTGGGTTAATCTGTAGACCATTTCTTTTCATCATCAGCCATCATTTAAGGGTTGGTTAATATTTAAAATTACATTTGCAAATGAAATGGAGCTTACGTCTTACTTTTCCACTCATAAGTAGGTTGATGAAGATATGTTATACCATGTTGTGTGCAATGAGGGAAATTGCATTCTACAATAGTATCAATAGACTACCAAACATACCCAATCAATTTTTCATCATCAAATTTTCATTATAAAGATTTTTGGATAAAACAGTTGGATACTCACTAGTGAAATGAACTCTAATTTACAATTAGAGCTGATATAATCTAATAAAGTATTTATTCCATGGATAGCTAGATTCCGTTTATCAAAATCTTCTGTAGTACTTTCACATTTCACTAATCTACTCATAGACAGAGATACGTCTAATGCAATTATAGTTGGCATTTTCCTGGAATGATAAGAAGCTTAATCAATAGTAGGAAAAGGGTGAAGTAGAAGTCTTAAAACATTTGTGTCCTATAGATGTAACATCACTATAAACTAGTGAATGGGATGGGTTGTGGGGAACATAATTAGGATTTGGAATGAGTTTTAAGTGCTTTTGAAAATTCAACCAATATGTTCCTATTTAGTTATAATTAAACATAGTCACAAAAGGTTTGTTTGAATTGATATATCAACTTTAAACATCAAACATTAAAGTCAAAGTCTAATTCCATACTATTGATATTGTTATATTTCATAACATGAAAATTGAATGCAAAAATAAACTAAACAAAACAAATCAATTATGAACATTTATTTACGGTATCTATTTTAAACCGAACATGCTTGATTGGTGACATTTTCTCTGTTTTATCAATAGTTACCTGATATATACTTTACATGTCTTGTAAATATAAAATCAATAATTAAACTAACATAAATATCAATATGGAAAATCGAAATATATTTTTACAGTCGAACACCCGCCATGACACTAAAATTATGGATTTTTCGAACATACACGAAAAAAGAAATAAGAACAAAATATATATAAAAAGAACATGTTTCATTTTCTTTGTGTTGTAAATTTGCTGAAAAAATCTTTGTTCATTCGAATTCTATCTATAGGAACATTGCTCCTTGAACTGGCTTCTTGTTTCTTAATTAATGAATTCTGCGTTTACAAAAAGAAATTATGTACGAATCCTTTATCTTAAATATCAATAGACGCGATTTACTAGTCTTTTAGTAATGTTCTATTTTCCAGTACTTTTCATGTCGAATGGAAAAGTTATCGATTGACATGAAAAGGATTTTCATACCAGAAGAAAAATAAAATGATGGAAAGGAGATAAAAGACAGTTTAATATCACCATCCAAAACAGACAGCCTTTTTAAATCTAGATTTGCGTTATTTGATTATCCGTAGGTGAGTGTTTACTTTGATTTTTTAATGAATTTTGCTTAGCGTTTCTATGGACGCTTTGAGAATGTAAACGACTCACTTGCGCTCTTTCAAATCGAATTGGTAAATTGATTGCTGATTCAATCAATTGCAATAAAATAATGGCAAGTCCGATTCTCTATATTCATATGCAACATGCCATATTGAAACTGAGAAACAAAAATGATTTTTTTTTACTAGTCCACAGAAATTGTGGTAGGAGTCCTGCTCTCCTCTCTATGAGCAGAGTCATTATATTCTGTCGCGGAGGACAAGTGAACCTCTAGCAAGAGTTCAAGATAGATCAGATCAGTTTTCAAATTTCTTGTCATTATATATATAGGGACAGAATTGCATGTTGCCCCCATTAAAAATTTCTGTGGCCCCCCCTCACCTTACGATTCCTAGAAACTCCACTGCATCAGGTTCACGTGAGAGCCTTGACACCAAATTTCAATATTCCAAATAAAGTGGTATATAGACAAGAAGATAAATGTTTTTCTTTCCTATCTATAAAGTTTCAGTCAGACATATTATATCAGTGTGAGGAATACATTAGGTTCTTGTTTGACCTTGAATTTAGAATTTCAAGGTCAATTATAAAAGAGGTCATGCAAATGCCTGATTTTAAATTTTCCAGGGTAGGGGCACAATCCATTCTTTCCCTGTAAAATGATAATAAAATTTGAAAGTGGGGGGGGGGGGCCACTGGGCACTGGACAAAGCATATCAAAGTATCAGATAATACTCTGTCACAGTTGACAACAGCTATATGCTCATTCTTAGAAAGTGGTTGATAACAACTGGCAGCATCTGTGATTCTCAGTCCAGCAATTGACAAGATTCTCCTCCATGCTAACAGAAAATCAAGTCACTCCCTCAGTCACAAGTCCATCTGAGCCCTTAAAATCCTATTTGTAAAGCAGACGTCATCTGTGTAACCATTATACTCCATGGTAGAATCTGATTCATAATTAGATATACTATAATTAAGATTTTATAGAAAATGAAAATTGGATTTTCAGTAGTGAATCAAGGTTGTAATTAAGGATAGTAATTTGATTAAGAATGTATAATAAGAGATGTGGTCAATCTAACTGTGTTACATATAGTCTGAGGTAGGAAAGGAAGCTCCCTCTATTGATTTACAAAAACAAAATGGATAAGGCTACCATTAAAATTGTAACTGTTTCTTCCAGTGTTTCCAACAACAAAATTTTCTTCTCAGAGAATTTCTTGAAAATGCAAAAAATCACAGCATAAGCACAAAGCATTTTTATTTAAAAGAAGTTGCACTATTGCTAATCGAGCTATTTGTATCTACTTATTACACTGTAACTCGTAATTAGAAATGATAAAACAGAACCTGAAACATGTTGTTACTCAGAATTACTGAACAATGTCAGTTCTCTGAAGATTGCACAGCGTGAAAGTCTGACTTGTTGAAAGTCGACACTGGGCTGACTCTTGGAAACCACTGGCATCAGAATTTGCCTTGCTTGAGGAAAATATGGTTAGCTTTCAGTAGACTATTGGAAACAGAAAATTATTCTAGGAAGCCTAAAGAGAAAATGAAATTAGAACTATTCTTGTAAAATTAACTAAGTGTCGGCCATTGGTAATTGTCGTGCTTTGAAAGTTTTGCCTGTAGACTCGATTTATTATGGAGATAAGTTTTCATTAGTTGTAATACGGCAGTAAGTGTCTGGCTTGGAATCAGACGTCATATTGGGTTTATGTACCAAATTGATTGAATTTCTAAAAGTTGTGTTCTCACGCCTTCGTCCATGAAAATTAATGACTTTTTCTAGATTTTTCCATGCTGATAAAACTTGTGAACATTATTCTTCAGCTTCAATAAATTAAAGATTGACTTAATCTCTTTAATATGAGAGAAAAGAGGAAAATTTATGAGAAGTTTTAAAATTTGTATTAGCTTCATGAAATATTGTTCATCATGAGACTTATTTTGATACAGTTTATAGAACAGAGAATTAGTGGGAGGAAAATTGAGGGAGAAGGTGACTTTGTCTGCAGAGAATGTGAAAAAGGATTAAGGCTATAACCCAGTGGCGTTTCTGTGAATGAGGCTTTATTCCCACAGCCCACCTTCCCATTTTGCCTCTTTTCATGTAGTGAAGGGGCTTGGATTGTCAAGGGGCACTCACAGGGAAGTGGGGAAAATGGGAGAGCCAAATCTAAGTCAGCTTCCCACCTCCCTGTCTATGATTCCAATTATCACACAGCCTTAGCCATCCAAAAGCATAAATAAGTTTCTTACATTTGGTCCAATATTAAAACAATTTGAGTTTTTTTCACCATATCTCAAGTGAAATCTCTGTATTGATATATTTTCTTGAAACGCAACCAAAACAAAGGTTAAAACAAATATCTTGTAATCCGCCTAAATGATGTAATGAAATATATTTATTTGAGTGAAGAGTCTATTTATAGGTTTATTTTTGGTCTGTAAATTCTGAGTGAGTAAAGCTGCAAATAGACAAGGTCTGGTGAACGGTGCACGATATCGATACAGATGAAAATAGAAGAAGTGAACACACAAGTGTCAGTCTGAACAGTGCAGTGATTCTTTCTTCTATTTTCTACTGTATAGATAATCTCACACCCTATACCTCACTTGACACCTCGTCCATTCCCACATCCATGGTGAGTAAAAAAGTTAGACACTAAATTAGAATATCTCAGTTTTGATCAAGATCTTCAGATTTTCGAACTGGTGCATTGAAATAGTTTATCATTTAGCAGAAAGTAGGATTTTTTACACCAATTTTTTTCCAAGAGTTTTGACCTTGAGTTGTTTGCCTGCAAAGTAATTTTGTAATTGAAGCAATTTACATAGATAAAGGTTAAAGATTGTGTAAATTACAAAAATCAATTAGTAATCATTAAAGGTTGATGGAGCCTTTAGGCAAGATGAAGCCTACAGTTGTTTTGTGAAAAGGATGAAATATAAAGTTCAAGCATTTGACTTGAGTTAATGAGTGCATTCTACTTCTACCTTCTATTTCTGTTCTGAGAATCCTTTAGTATTATCTGTTTGTGCCTTTAAGAACCAGGAGCATATCTCAAAAATGCCTTTAGGGCAGGGGAAGCAAAAACGAGAAAAAATTGAAAAATGGAAAGTGCCCATTGACCTTTAACAGGCCTGAGGGGAGGGGGTGGGGAGGCATGTGTCCCACACCCTAGATACAACACTAGATAGAACTTTATTTGTATTAGTTTTAAAGTGAAAATGTTGAGTCTAATCTGCCCACACAATATAATTTGGATATATATTGTTTTTACCTCTGTCCACAATTAATCTCCATCAGCTGCTATAGCAGATATTTAAATACAGATATCTCTTGAAGATTCAACTCTTTCTAATAAGGGTCCTGAAAAAATATTTTTATAGAAAACAAGCTTTTTGTTTGGTTAATTAGAAACATAATTAGAAATAAACTCAAGAACCTTTGACAATACGAAGAAAGTTTTTATTTTTACTTTCTATCAATAGATGTGATCAAATCGGAAATGAATTTCTCTATTATTTAATTACCCTATCACCGTGGTAATAGTTTTTCTTTCAGATTCAAATATTAGCCAGTGTCATTAAGGTAATTGATTGGTGAATTTTCTATGCTCTATCTAATAAGGCTAATAACAACGTTACCATGTTGCCTTCATTTATTAATCAATCATTTTAGACTTAGAACTTGTTGACAGAGACTTAAAGTCTTAAAGCTTGACACTCTTAATTATTCCACTTTATAGCTACTGGAACTTAATTTTACTTACCTTTAACACCTTTCAAAGTGAAGATCTGACTTCTGATATGATTAAATACAAACAAAGTTTCCTATTTGTCAGTAGTGGAATTATATTGGGATTTTCCATGTGGATGCCAATGATTGGGAATTGGATCCCTTTCATTTTTAAATTTGAAAAGCTACATGTGCCTTTTAGAGGTAAACATTAATAGTAGTGGTGGATTCAAAGGATTTTTATACCTAAACATGGAGCACCAATTGCTTGTCAGATGTGATCCAACTAGCTACTGACAGGTGTACATCTCTTAATACTACCTGTGATTTAATCTAGTTCTAAATAGCTATGGATCTGATACACTTCTAATTAGATTTTTAATTCTCTTTTAGAGTAAAACAAACATTTTAGAACAATTAATAGATTATAGCTCCCAGCTGTGTCTCTTAATAAATCTTGATCGTGGATGTGATTTGTCTGATGTTTTAAAAATTAATGACTAATTTATCAAGACATATTTAGCTTGCACTTTAATATGGTCAGACTAACCAATCAGTATAAATATAGATGAAGATCTGATCTAGATTTCACCATTCCGGATAAAATATAATAACAGCAGAAATAGGACTGAAACACAATCTAATTTCAATTTCAATTTGGTTTTTATTTTTTTCTGATATATTTCATCTCAATTAGAATCTTTCATGTTTTCTACCTAAGTCCTGTTCTAATGACGTTACTTTTTAACCAATCAAAGCTTGTGATGAAGGAACAGATT